CACGAAGCCACAGAAGCCACAGAAGCCACGAAAGCCACAGAAGCCACGAAAAACAAAAAAAATCCTTAAACAAAACAAAAACAAATCCTAAATTAAATGGCCCTCCATTTCTTGTTCCTAGTAGTAAGGCCAGGAGCCCCTAGTAGCGTCCTTGCTCCTAGTAGCGATGCCGATTGTGTCAAAATGTGCTAAGTCTAAGTCCTCTCTTCAGGATTGATGCTTGTGGCGATTCGATCTGACAGCAATAATAACAGAAAGTCTGGATGGAAAGGCCCCGGCACATCCCATTTTGGTGTGCTTTATCCGGGTGCATGCGCAATGCAAGCCTCAGTGCGCACAGCTAAGTTTAACCAATGTCCAATGTTTTAACATGATTGAACACTCACATCCTGCCCCAAAACGTTCAGCTCAATCACTTCCGATATGTCGCTTTGATCTCAGCCGCATCGCACTTCCTGTCCACACCTGCAAAGCACTCAGAAACGATAAGGACCGCGTTTGCTGCTGATGTTCATACTCAGTTTACGCTGGTACAGCCAAGTTCACGGCCCAATAATTCATAGTAGCAAATCCTGATGGACAACTTTCACGGCCCAAGCTGGAAAGTTTGACACGGCTTTCTGAGGCCGTGGCTTTTTACTGTCTGAGTTTGTCATAGCGTCATAGGCAGGTATGGAGAAAAGAAGAGGTTGAAGAGGTCGCAGTGGAATGTTGTCTGCGAGTTTCGGTTCCATTTCGAGGTGGCTAAAAAGGTTGAAGTTCTGCCTCCGAAGTCTGCAACAGCCTGTGAAAAGTAACATGTGGTGTGCTGCAGAGATTGCACACTACTCTGGGTGTCTGTCACTCTGTTTGACTCAAAGTAACACTTCCTGCTCAAGCCAAAGCTGCAAGACTTCATGAGGTCATTTGGCACAGAAAAACGTCACTTTGCGGCTTTGTCTTGGTAGGCCGAACACATCCAAACACGAAGCTTGATTTGCAGGTAAAGTGCTTGCTTATGAGGTGCACACCAAGAACTTTAGAAGCTTGAAGTGCAAGTCATTTAAGCTGCTCAATGACAATGACCAGCTCAGCCAAGAAGGCACGTAAATCGAGAAAGCAACTTGCAGCCACTCCACAATCTGACAACTCTGATTGGTGCAATGGTCTACAGAGTTTACAGAATTACCTGAGGCCATGTTTACTCTCAAATGGTAGCACCAAAAGAGTTGCAGATTTCGATTGAAAACATAAACAGCATAATTAATTGCTGTATACAGCCCCTGCAGAATGCAACAATGGAATCACGTCTGTTGCTGCACAAACGTTGAAACGTTCCTTGGCACCTTGAAACAGTGGTGCCAATCGTGCTAGGAGCCGGTCATCAAACCTCTGCAAACCCAGAGTCAGTTTAGTATAGGGCTGGGGAAAGCTGAGAACCATCTGCTTACATAATATGCAGGCAGTGAGATGAGGGCAGGGAGCTATCAAGAGTGGCAAGTCGGTAGTAACTAACTGAGTTAAGTAGTTGGGGAAATTATACATATATATATATAATGTTCAGCGTTCCGTAGTATTCTTGGTGGGCCGCCTCCAGTCAGAAGAGCTTTTAAATGAGCCAAGCCACAAATTCTCTCGCCTGACCATCACTCAACTTCCTTCGACTCACTTGCCACCCATGTTGCAATCCTGGCCTTTGGTCAGGCTCGATGGAATGACATGGTGGTCATGTGCCAGGTGCTTGGCTGAAATGTGCTTGAACACCCTCCAGGCTACCACAGGGAAGCAATTGATACCTTCAACTAAAAAAATAACCGATCGATCTGGGTGCCCATGCATTCGGCGTGGGTTCGAACGACAGCTGCAGTCTTGGCTGGCTTGGCACCTGAGGCGCGAACAGCTCAAAAAAGAATATTCAGGAAACAAAAGGAAACAAACGTCACTTGAGGAATTGGCTGCAATGCAGCTGCAAGTTGCAGCAAGCGCAGCACTAAGAACAAAGTAACCTCATGTCTGAGTACACTCATGACCAAAGGCCTTGGCTGGATTCATGCCAGGGCACTGCAGCTTTGGCATCAAGCTGCATCAATTCAAGATATTGAGAACTTGCTGCTTTCTCCTCGCACCTGCGCAGGACTTGGACAGTCATCCCCGCACACACACACATACACACATAAGACACGTTCTCAGGTACAAACTAGACTTGCACCTATCTGCACAAATGTCGAAAACACTCAACATATGAAGCTGAATTGCATCACTGTGGGGCGGCTGCTCTTCGTATCTCCAATAAAAAATGTGGACAGTGTGTCAGTAAGATGGACTTCAACACGGCTTGTTATTGTTTGCCGTTGATCAAACTTTTGCTTGCATATGCAAATCCTCACTCCTTTCGGTATTTGCGTGGTCGATGTTATCTTGAATTTTTGCACGCACGCTTTCACTGCTGGTGAAGTGCCAAAGGATATCCTCATGATCACACCACGGCATGGAATCAACATGACACGTAGTCGCGTATGCCTGAAGGGGAATCTAACGTCAAAGCGGTTTTGATGATTTTTGGGGCAGGGTCTATTGATGGATCATTCTGAATGGTTGAACAATAACTACAAAGGAAGGGTGACTTTATATAGTGATATAGTTTATCAATGATTCCGCTCAGCTAGCCCTGCACTTGTTTCACTGGTCAAACTCAATTTACAAGCAGCTGTTTCGAACCTACCTTTTGTGAACAGTGCCATGCACAAAGAGTTGCCATATGTTGCCATCCTTCACAGGAGACAGCGAACCTGACAATCATCCCGCAACCGAGGAAGAAGCCAAAACTGATGGCACCGCCAACAACAGAGACCGGCAAGACCTGCACATGATTTCACAACGAATCTGAGAAGCATTGGCAGGTGGAAAAGTGTTCGATATTGAGAGGTCCACTGAGTGTTGCACTAAAGGGTTTCTCTGTGTGACTGCCACCCATGCTCCAGTTAGCAGCCCAAAGCAACCGCCAACTGTGGCACCTCAGTCGATAAACTGGCCAAAGCAGAACGGAAAAACGTAGGAAGCGGCGTAGTTACACAGTGGTGAGTTCACAGAAGTAGCTGTGCAATTCCTGAAACCAATCTATCAAACAATGTCTGTTGTTCAAATATGCCCTCACCCACTTAACATAGCTTCTGACCCATCTTCGCTCCAAGCTGGATATTGTTCACGCATTGCCATACCCGGGGATTCTGAATCCATTGGCCCTCATAGCTACCTCATGGCCATTCAGAAAGCCAACACAGAGCTCTCTCAGCTACCTCCATGACTTCTTCTACATCACAACGCACAGGCAATGCATTTAAGACTCTCACTCCTCCTTGCATACTGTGCATCTTGGAGGCCATCTGATTCATGAACACTAGAGCCATACCTGGAACAGCATGACTCAAACATACCTCATGTTGAACTGTGAACCTGCCGCATGTTTGCTGCAAATCACTGTTTGTTCTTAACATGGAGCACTTTGAGAAGTCCATGCTCTCATATTTCGGAGATGGTGTAGCCTTATGTTCTCGCTTCAAGCCGGTGGCTGGATGCAAGGCCACTCAAAAAGAGAACACGAGAACAAAGGCCCGTTGATAGAAGCGTTCTCTTGAAAAAGCAAGGACAACCCATATTATTGTTCTCAAGAAGCAGATCCTAGGCGAAAGTCCAAGATGGCACAGCGAAAAGCGTTCAAACATATCTTTGTGTTTGTTGTTTACAAAGATTAAAATATAGTTATATAATTATACACAGTATATATTATTATACGTGCGACGTGCGAGTGCGAGTTACCTGATGTTACCTCCAGGTTCCTCAGCGTTTGGCGCCAAGTTGCAGGAGGGGGCACTGGGGCTGCAGGGGGAGCAGAAAACTTTCTTGTGACAGGCGCTGCCTAGGATTGCATCTCTCAGGCAATTCAACAAAATATTCAACAAACTATACCGATATTGGTCTTTCAATGTCTGAGAGGCAAGCATTTGGCTGTGAACCTGACGCATTGAAACATTGAGGATTAGATTACGTGATTAATCATTAATGGAACCTGTCAACTTGGCCTGAAGATTCGGCAGGGGCATCATCAGGCCTTTTCGGAGGCCTCAGCCAATCCAGAGACATGTAAAGACAAACTTTGCCACACCTGCCAGTTCCAGCATCAAGTCATCAGTGTCCCTCAGGCATTGTCCAGTGCATGGCTAGCCTTAGCCATTCTGTACTCACTGCTCACTAAAGAAACATGTTGAACATCGATGTATCTATATTGTATTGTATTATACTGTATATAAGTATTATATATTCAATAAATATATCTATACCACTCTGAGGCCTGAACAGTGGATCGGAGACCTATCCTATCTATTCCTACTCTCCTACCATTTGCCCATTCCCAAAGTGTGGCTGAGCAATACAGCAGCGTTTGACATAGAGTCACAATCTGAAATTATGTTCTCAGCCAAATCCACCAGGAAGACTCAGTTCGATACCCCATGTCAAAATCACATCCTTTTGACTCCTTTTACCTCTGTCTTGTCCACTGCTATCGCAGGAAGACTCAATCAAAGGTTGTCTTCCATTTGACTCATTTGACGATCGGCGAACCAATTGCTGCAGGTACAAAATCTTGAAGAATCACAAGTTTCACTCACGACATGCAATGAGGCATGTACGGTAGAAGCTCAAGGGAAAGCCGCTTGTCCAGTACACAGTTGAAATGGTTGTTGGCGTTTCGATCTCAGCGTCGATCTCGTGCAATGGAGTCGATCTCCGTCAGCTTCTCAGCTTGGAATGCCATAACTCCATGTCAGACAATCACATGCAGACGAAATAGCAGCATGATCATGATCAGTACTTGTTCATAGGAGAGCAAGAGCAAAGAGTGGCCCAAATACGAGCAGAAGTGCTGTCGTCTCAAGCATTCAACCAGCTTGCGCAATGGCGCGCAAGCTCTCTGGATCTAGTCGACCTTGGATGAAAGAGATGGGCTCTTGCTCTTCTGTAACATGTTCTTTCCGATAATGGGCAAAGTCAATAGTATCACACCATGGAATTGATGGTGCGGTGGACATTTAATATATCAAACTTGGCATGCAAAGTGTAATGTATTGCACAATGAAGCCAATAGGCACATCATCCTTCCCAAAGAGCAGAAGGCTCGCAGTAGGTCCAGTTTCAAGCGTGCTGTCCTGGGGAATGGAACAAACTGCACAAGCACGATTGGTGGACGTTCAAACTTGCCTTCAAGAGACCTTCCGTATGCAGTTCAAGGAAAAACAAACGCATCAAGTGCCAAGTGCCTGGCTCAAAAGGGACCCACATCATGTCCTTCATCACTGCACAACAGTATTTTGAAGACAATACTGCATAAATACTATAACAACTTTCAAGCACCACAACAGCCCATGCAAAAACCATAGTGAGAAGGTGTCCATTGTTTGGACCACAAAGCAGAGCAAGAAACAGTTCAATCCTGGCATTCTCCGATGCCTGGAGAAATGACAAAACCCATGCTAGGTGCCTTGGGCGCAACTGATGTTTCTGAAACATAAATAAATGGGTGCAGCAGGAATTCAGCAGGTGCTCAAATTGAAGTATGCAGTGCTATGGCCATGGCTTCTGCAACGGTACTCATCTTCTGCAGCCCTGGCCTGGGTGTCCATTCATACGGCACAATGACTCTGTTCACTGATCCCATAATACAAGTACCATGCTCATCCAATCGCCAAAATGTTCTGTTTTGAGCGCTCAAAACTCAACATCTGTCACTTGTACATCATGCTGTGGAAAATATCTAATATCTATCACTTCTTGTTGTTTCAAGTATCTTCACTTCGACGATCCATCAAGAAAGGCCAGTCAGGCCCAGCCAGGCTGCTTCGAGAAAGTTTATAGTTCGTAGGAAAGGAAGATCAACAAGGGCTGGTGAGAGTGAAAGGAGACATGGTTTCCCTAAAGCTCTACTGTGCCAGCGCTTCTTCAGCTTCCCCGGCCGCCTTTAGGGCGGCGGGGGGCGTGGGCTATCCTGCGTCCATATGTACTAGCTACTTAAACTAGTAGCTGCCTCTTCTACTAGGTACCTATATAGCTACCTCGGCCTACCCCCCCGGCTAAAAAGAAAAAAGTTGGAGCATGTTTGCGCCCTTTTGGCGGATCGCAGTCATGTGGGGAGCGGAAGTAGAGGACTTGAAGCGCAATGTGGCAGGCTGTGCAAGGGTGGCTGAGGGTGATCATGTGATGTGTGCTGTTTTATCGGGTAACAGAATGGGAGGATTCAGAACTCATAACCCCTTGTCAGGGCTGTCAGGACTGCGGAAGACTGCTCGCGGATGCGTGTAGATGGCACAGCAAAGCCCTCCCCTGCATGGAGTAGATAATCTATGAGAATCTGATACTTTGGGTTGCGCTTGCCTTTCGCGGTGGCTACGAACAAGAACAAGCAGAATCGTCAGTTGCACGCAGGGTGTTTGCAGAGTGGGAGGTGTTTGTCAGCTGCAACCTCGACTCCCCCATCAGTTGTGCAGCGAGTGGGATGATAACTAGGCAACATCTCTTCTTCCGCAGTCTTACAATAACTGTGTCGCTTTCTCGTAGTCGCTCATAGTGGCTTCGGGAGTTCTCTATTCACTATTTAAGACACAAATGTTCTTTGTCAGGTAGCTTTGATTTGAGGCCTTTCTCAAACCGCCGCATGTTTCTGGGCTAGTCACAGGTCACACTTGTTTTTATGGTCCCATTTTGTCATAATAGTATATAATAGTTTAATGTCAATATCAGAGGTCAGGTAAAGGGAACTGCATCCATCAGTCGTGCAGTATCAAGTCGCCCAAAGAGAAATCCAGCAATGTATGAACGCAAAGTCAACATAGCCCCTTTTCGTCCAAGATTCACAAGTCCAGGCAGCTCTGTTTCAGGTGCCGTTGCCAAGAGCCGTACTGTCCTGTGAAGAGACAAGCCATTTCAAGTGTATATATATAGGACTATAGGACAAAATAAGAACCAGCATGAACCAGCTAAGAATTGTTGCGCCCACGGTGCACTCCCGAGTCCTGCTTACTGAAGAGCCTCAAAATCAGTCACAGCACCAAATGAGCAACACAAGCAAGGCAGTTCTCAGCAATGATTCAGATGATAATATGGCAATGATTGGGCATGGTGAGCCCCAAGCTCAAACCATCTGATCCAAGATTGGCAAGAAAAGCCTGCATGACACCAAAAGGTACTGGGAAAGTTTACTGTAGGTTTTAAGATTGACATGTCCGAAACTCCATGATGCCTCAATCACCGCGGTCAGGGATGCCTGCCATTTGAGGTCAGCGTCTTGAGTCTTGAGCCCCTATGGTTGCCGTTGCTTAGGTGGCAGGGTTTTGGAGGTGGGGGGGTCTTAGGGAATCAAACTTGTCCATGTCGCTGATTGTTTGGCAGCACCTCCAGCAAGGACCATGTCAATAGTTCCAAATGGCTTGCCTGCGGGAAAGCAACTACCAACACTGCCTCTAAGAGAAAAGAAAGCGATGAAAACAAGAAGGTAGGGCCCCTTTCATAAGGCTCTTTTAAAGGGTTCCTCTTTAATAAAGGGGCTGAAGGCAACCCCATTAAGAATGTCCTTACCTTCGTGTTGTTTCCTAATTTATTGGCGTACTGTTGCCTCTGAGTCTCCCTGCCTTGGTGAAGTCTGGGCCGAATACCTGAGGCCAAAAAGCATCAACATGTTCGCCACCTCAGAGCCTCGCAACGTTTGGTTTCACCTCCGTGGAAGGCCGATTCCTGACAAAAAATTGCAGAAATAAACTCAAACAAGTGGACATGTCAAAGCAAAGACAGGGATCCAAAAAGCAGGTAAGGGCCCATCCTTTAATAAAGGGCCTTCTTGTTGAGGTAATTCTCTCTCTCTCTCTCTGTCGGTAACTCTCTCTCTCTCTCTTTCTTGACAAGTTCATTTCAGGTTCGCTCCTGCCACGGAGGCTCAAAGCCTGAGACAACCGAATGCGGAGCAATCAGTGTCCGCAAGTTCAGCCATGCAGTTTGCACATATACGCTTTGTTGGCAATCCCCTGTGTGCTGAACACCGTTTGCAAACCTTTGGCCTCCGACCCGCTCATGGGCCAAGCGCAACAATGCCAACTCAAAGGTCAAACCTAAAGGCCAAGCGAAAGCCGTTTAATGCAGTTGTGGGTTCGGCAATACTGTAGAACCTTGATTAGACGGATCGGTGAAATCAAATCATTGTGAAACATGTTGCCGCTGTGTTGCCCGACACACCCCACAAATTGACAGAAAGAACAATCATTCCAGATCCCATGGTGGCAACTCGTACAGTTGCACTTGCGCAGCTTCATGATCCAAAACCGGGAACCCAAATCAAAATGGAACCCCATATTGGGTCCAAAAGCTCGACTGAAGAGTCCATTGTTGCATGAGTGCTGGTGCAGAACTTTGCAACGCAAAGCAGAACATGTTGCTTTCACAGTTATCACTAGGGTTCTCCCTTGTCTCACCCCGCGGCACTTATGATACTGCGAGGGCCCTCCACACCAAAGTTTTTTTTCATAAGACTTTAGGGCACTGTGGTGCCCGCAGAATCACCAAGCAGCTCAGTACAGCAAGCCCACGCAAACAAATTATATAGCGCTACTTCACGGGCACCTTGTGGAAGCAGCCCCTGACACAACGTCAACAACACCTCCGCCCTTCCTCAAAAGCATTGCCTGTCAGATCCCCAGAGTTAAACACTTTGTAAGTCTCAAACTAGGTGAGCGGGGCCACTCCTCTAAATAGCATGCAAAGCCGGGCCACACATGGGGCTACAACCACCAAAGGCGGCATGACTTTCGGGGCCACACGCAGGGCCACTCCTGTAACTACCGTGACTGACAGGGCCACAGGCGGAGCCATGCCTGTAATTACATAAATACTATGGCCTTGGGGGCCATGGGCGGCACCCTTCCTGTAAATCCAACGCTTCCGGGACTAGAGGCGTGTCCATCTGAGTAAATGCTATGAGCGGAGACCAGCCATGCTTTCCGAAAAGTGCATTGGTTTTGTCGCCACAAAACCATCGCGGTGGGCCCCCATTGTAATATGTTGTAATTATACATATCTAAATCTGTACAATATATGCCGCATGAAATGTTTTGTCATTGTCAATTGCGATCCAAATTGTTTGTTCCGCTGCATTCTGAAGCAATCCTTCGAGTCTTCGAGTGTTATAGCTGCTCAGGACTTGGCCACCAGCTATTATGGAGGATGGATCCTTATCAGAATACTCACAGCAGTGTCACATCAATGACATACCCGCATTGTACTACATCGAAGCAACGTGTCCTCTAATGCCGGTGCAACTACCGCCAAAAGCCGCAAAACTGCAAGGCGATGCTCAGCAGCCAGGCCTCAAGCAAACGAACCGGTTTTAGCGGCTGCAGCTAAAAGCAAAGCACTAGTTGCCATTCAAGATGATGAAGAGGGTAGCACGCCTTCTCCGTGAACGAAGGCACTATGTCCAGAATTGACACCCAATTCAATTGATCTTTGTTAGCCACAACAAATAACCAAAACTTGTGCTTTACCGTTCGGGACCAGCATTCACATCATTACTGTGCTTCTGTGACTGATGGTGTGAGCCCCGACCGCGAAAAGAAACAATTTCAAAATTGTAGTCCAAGCTCCTTGTGTTGAGCTATACATTAGAATGACTGCGGCAAGCTCCATCCCTTTCCTCAGGCTTGGGATGTTCATGTGGAGGAGGAAATGCTTTCTGTTGTGTATCAGTCCTTGGGCATGGCTTTGGGGTGGACCCCTTCGCTTCACTGCTTCCTTGTTCTGGCGATACAGGTATTGTGCACCTACACCTATGTGTGTTTCGGGTTCCGGAACATTCTTGCATATTCTTGCGGGGTGATCCATCAGCCCAGAAAGAACAACTATGAAATGAAAAGGCCCTACAGTATCCTATAGTCAGAAAAAAATACCACATTATATACTATATGTATACATCTGTATAATACACGTCATCAAAAGCAGAACTTATCTTCATGAAATTGTGAAGGAAACTGCAAAGCCAACAGGGCATCTTGCAAAACCAAAATGGCAAGAACTACTAGCCACTAGTCGAGACAAGTCAAGTGCGGCGCACGAAAGAACATTCTGTGCTGTTGCCATTGCTATGGTTGGCATGTTACCATTGCATCTGAAAACTATCTGTTACATTCTGCTACAGGGTTACAGGATCTAGGCGCAGACATATCCTACCGCAAACTCTCTAAGCACAGCATCTACTGTAATTGATTGCTGTCTGTTTGGTCTCACCTTTCCGCAAGAATGTTTGGGCAACAGCTTCCACCAAAAAATGCAACATCAAAAACGACTTGCATTCTGGACTGCAGTCTCGGGCTGCTTCCACAAGAATATACAAGAATAAAGTTATACGGCATGATACAGCAACCATTTCTCACTAAGGCGGCATCTACTTGAAGGAGACTGTAGCAATAAGAGACCTGGCTTCAAGCAAAATGCGGAGTCAGTTTCAAGCGCAGGGTCAATAGTCAATGCTGTAAATCGTCGCATCGCTTTCAAGTTTATCAATTTCATTGAACTTGGCTCACAGTATCTGACTTATAGAGTCAAATCAACGCGAGGGTTAATTAAATGTGCCAAGAAGGCAAATGGACCTTTCCTCTTGTGGCTTGATCAACCAGTAAGCCTGAGCCATTTAACGCATTCCAACATATTCGCCTGAATTGGCTTTGCTTTCTGGTCCTTCTTGCGGTGAAGCTGGGTAAGCTGGGTAGCAGGCCCGACTTCCTGCTCCCGAAGGTCGTAGAGGCCTGGCTTCAGATCATTGCTTCAACCCTAGGTGTCTCTCAACTCGGCCTGCCTCATTGATTCAATAGGAAATGTTGCTGCTGCCAAGAGGGCCACCTGTGGGCGAACTGGACGGTACACTGGCATACACAAGCACGACTGTCGGTGCTGGGCATTCTACGTGACTTCCAGGCAATATCCGCCGGACTGGGCCAACTCGTGATTCAAGCAAGTTCAGCTCCTTGCGACTCAGCAAGTTGGAAGACATTCTTTAAAATTACTTCAAGCGCTCTTGTTTAAACAAATTGTACAGTTGATAGCTCTGATTGATTCTGTTTTGGTTTGTGTCGCCTCCTCATCGACAAGATTCAGCAAGCAAATGCCACGACGTGCCAATGATCCAGTCCATTCCTGGCACAAAGGCAATACAGGTCTTCGGTCGACCGCTTCACAGGTCTTTTCTTCTGCCGTGATTGCTTCAGCCTCATGGACCTGGGAGACGCACAAGACCACCCGAATGCCAGCCTGGAGAATGGTTTGGGAATTGACAGCTACCAGGGAACCTGCTGACACTTGTATTCCTTTTCAAAACAAGTGACCTTTCTGACCTTTCTGCCTTTTTGTCATGTTTGTAAAACAACAACAAAGTCTGTGGGCAAAACCTGCCAAAGCTGCTCTGTTGTGAGAAGCAAATGCTCTTTTAGCCTGGCATACAAATAGGTTTTTTAGCATCACGGAAGCTTGCACTCTTGCAATTGTTGGACAGGCCTAGCAAGCTCCTTGCCAGGCATTGCAACACGCACCTCACTCAGTTACTCTGTCTGATCTGTGAGAGTTGCACTCTGTCTTATCTGAGACCAAGAGAAAACACAACAAATTGGCTTCCAACCGACTAGCGATGGCCTCCAACCTACTAGCAATTTCCAACCTACTAGCTATGGCCTCCAACCTACTAGCAATTTCCAACCTACTAGCTATGGCCTCCAACCTACTAGCAATGGCTTTCAATCTACTGGCGATGACCTCCAACCTACTAGCAATGGCTTCCAAGCTACTAGCGATGGCCTCCAACCTCCTAGCAACGGCTTCCAACCTACTAGCAATGGCCCCTCCAACCTAATTATTAGCAATGGCCTCCAACCGAGGTGCTGGTAAGGGTGCAGTGTTTTCGTCAAGGATAGCAACTCGCCCTCCAAAGACTTCGCAGGGCATAGCTGAGTGTGCGAGCCTGCAGTCTTGGCAAAGACATTGTTTACATCTGCATACCCTAGTTTCATTCATTCCTTCGGGGGTAGGTCTTAAGATAAGATAAGCTAGGTAAGCTTTGAGCAGTTCAAGATAGTTCAAACAACTGGCTACTTTAGCCTACGGATGCAAAAGAACTGGGGTTCTTCGCTTCTTCCGAGTATTTTTTGCCGAAGCCAAAGCTGTAAGAAACGCTTCCTTGACTTCCTTGGCCTTATCGGGTCCTTTAGCTGCTGAGGGCGTCGCACAGCGGAAATGATGTGCTTGTTCTCCACAGTGGCACAGGACCGTCCATCTGCGATTTTCTGATTGCCATCTAAAGAATCAATTGCAATCATCTGTCCCTCTATCAAGTTGTTAAGATTGCCTGCAACAAAACCAGTGGGGCACAAGGTTGGCACCTGCCACCAGGTGCCAAGCAAGAGAAGTAGTTGCAGCATGTGGGCACTTTACACAAGCTGAGCAATTTCAATGAAAGTAGAACAGGCAAGAGCCTTAATGAGTTTCCCACTTCGCAATCGTCTGGCAGTGTTTGCTACCTTCTCCGAGGGCTCCTGTCCAGTGCACGACACTATGAGGAAGCATTGCTGAAAGCATCCTTGCAAAACACGCTGTTCGCTACCTCAGATACGCTGTTCGCCTTCAACCACTGCCAACCTTGCAAGATGCTTGAACAAACAGGAACGTCTGATTCCACATCAGTTAAGCCTACGGTTGAATCAGTGCCAAATTTGTCAGGCACTGCCTGCTGATAGTCACGAGTTATGATGCTTTCGGTAGCACACAATTAACCTTGAAATAAACCAAATTCCTTTCTCGTTCCTCGCCAGTGGAAATCTGGTCTGGTCACTCCATCAGTGCTCTGAGTAGAGGCAGCAAATGTGTTTGCTGTCTTTGTTATTTTGTGCTTAACAATGGCACCTTGGCGGATCAACTCTCCACTGCTTCAGAGGATACTCCTTTAATTAGATGCCCTTTTCCATCCTCTTTCCTCCTAGGTAAAATGCTCAGTCTCGAGGTGCAGGTGGCTATGTTTTAAGTATTGTCAGTTGCGGCTTTGGGTTGTGGTTGTACTGTGTTTACTCTGTGACATTTCTCTCGGGATCCGCCTGCACGTGGACAATTCCAACTATTGGTCTCGGGAAGTGGTTTCCTCCAGAAATTCACCAAGTTTGGTTGAGGCAAGTTTGGTAGTACCAGTTGTGTATATATATATACACACTGCAGTAAGCAACCGGTTATATACTATATATGTGTATATATATAATATATATCCAAAGGTTTTTACTTACAACACGCATCACATGTACTCATATATATATATATGTATTTTACGTGGTTTTTCAATATCGCGCATTGTGTTGTTGATTTTACATAGAACACAGGGGAATTTCGACCCCAGAACTGTCCCATTTTTGCCGAGGGTTCGTCGCGCATCTGTGTGTGCATCTGCAGGCGGGTTTCGGGGGGTGGGAAAGATGCTTGCATGCGTGTTGTCTTGCGCACGCATGTGTATCTCAAGGGGGGGTGCGGGGGGGTGAGCAAGATGTTTGCATGTTGTCTTGCGCACGCACACATGTTTTTTGTGCTTAAAGTTATTTTTAACAACCGGAAGCATGCCAAAGAACATAAACTGAAACACAAAGCAAAGGTTGCAGGATATGGTGAGATCCAGACTGGCCTTGTGGATCAAATGTGGGCTGATGTGAAGCGGTGGGTGCCGAAGCCAATCACTGCACGAAACAAAGAAGGAGATGTCAACGGCTTGTTGTGTTGTTATGCTTACCAGCGGTGGCTTCGGACATCTTGTCAAGATGTGACGCTGCGTAGGCAAAAGCTCTACAAACAGTGGAAGAAGCTCTCACTGGCTGAAGCGACGCGGCGGCCTGTAGGGAGGAAGATGCATTTTCAGGCACGAGAGTCGCTCGCCGTCTTGCTCTTCAGGCAGGGAAACCCTGAAGGATGCTTACGGTTTACTTAAGACAGTGACCACTTGCTGAAGGACCATCCCCAAAAACACTCACTGTCTTAAGTACCCCCCAGGGATATATATATATATATAACTATATAATATCAAAATCAAGGAGGTCCCTCCCTCTAATCACAAACGACTTTCTAATCTCTTCACTAGTAGTTAAAGCTCCAACAAACAAAAATAGGATTCTTTTGTCAGTGCCCAAGCAAGTGATCTTGTTACGTTCAAGAAGCCTTTTGAGCTTCCGTTTGTGGTGCAATCAAGCCACAAGTCTTGCTCAAGTGGCTGCTGACCTCGGATTCAAAGCATTACACAGTTGGTCTCCCTCTCTGTTGCAGCCGCACCTCAAGTGGGAAGTTTGCCCCAAAGAGTGTTCGGGCCAGATTCGTGAAGGCCAACTCAGTGGACAGGCCTTGCATTCGATGACGTGGAGCCGCCCTACTGTAGGTAGCACTGTCTCTCAGAAGAAACACTTCCATTCTGCATAGTCTGCCTTCTTTCGGACGAAGCTTGTGCAAGAGTTCCATAGCATCTGGCAATATCAGCACCTGTGGCAGCAAAATAATCAAAACATAAATCACTCTTGCTACTGGTATATACGTGCAGTCTTGTGTTGGAACACTCTATCTACCGCACTTTGAACAGGAACACGCCACATCTTTCTACAAAATGCACAACAAACAAGGTCCTGGGATGCCTTTGGCCGCCTAGTCTACTCTACAAGAACACACTCTCTACATGTTTTTCCAAAATGAATAACCCTACAAGAACCCTACAATGCTCCTGCTCCTCCTACGTGTCAGACCGTCTCATGCCAGGGCCTTTGCTTTGTTGGCATTGCACTATTAAAGAGTGCGTTGCTTCTTGCACGAAAGCTAGAATTAGATTTCAGTGTGCTTTAGGTCTCGGCATGTTGTAAAGAACTTGTGTACTTGGAACTGAAACACGTGTGCACATCACACACCGCGACAAACTCTTGGCTGTCTTCAGGCTTGTTCATACTGTTGACACCTCGACTTAATCTGAACAAGAACACGTTCCTCGTAGAAAATGGCTTGTTTTTTCTCTTACATTCAACACTGCCGCCTCAGCAAGCTGAAAGCATCGTCCGAGGTCCTGATGCATTGAGACTCTGGCACCAAAACAAAACAATAAATTGAAAAAGGGACAACTAAGGGAAACAAAGGTCTAAAGAGGGTCCGATGCATAGAGAGCTATCATTCAAGTCCTCTGATCACACGAGCCGTGATTTGTCAGTGCTCCTGCTGACTTGCCTTGCCATCCTTCATGGCACTAGCACAAAATTGGAAAGCACCATCCAGCAAAAGAGCCTCGGGCTTTAAGGTTCCCTAAAAATCTAGGAACCAAATCATTAGTGCGAGCGCTTCTTCAAAAAAATACAGAAAGAAAAAACAACATGTATTGCTGGATCTTCCCTCCTGCAAGTGCTGGACAACACTTTGTGATTATACAGTATTTCATACCATACTGGTCAGACTCACAGACTCTGTTGGTGAAGTCGTGTATCCTGTGCAAAAGGAGTCAGTAATGGGTCGGTGCTGCAAAGCTGCAAACCCATGATAACCAGGTCATGCCAGGTCCAATTCTTCACTTGAGCTGAGGATCCAAGGTGGCCGCACCATCTCCAATCTCCTGACACAAATATCTCGATAAACTTCTCGAAGCAAGTTTGGCTGAGCGTGCCTCGGCGAACTTGCACACGTGTTGCAGCAGGACCTGACAAAATCACTCCATAGGCGTAAATGCCGATCGCTCGATCTCCTGGGGCAAAGAGGAGCGCCCCTAGTAGCGTCCTTTGCTCCTAGTAGCGATGCCGTTTGTTCCTAGTAGCTTCTTGTTACTAGTAATATGGCCAGGAGCCCCTAGCAGCGTCCTTGCTCCTGGCAAATAGATGCAAATAGCCAAGGTCTGCTTGGTCCATTGGTGCGCCTTTGCAATCGGTGATCCTGGTCGAGCCAGGCTCAAGATGCGCGCTGCCTCAGCTGATCGAACTCACTGCAGAGGTGCTGTGTTAGCTTCTTGTTCCTAGTAGTATGGCCAGAAGCGCCCCTAGTAGCGTCCTTGCTCCTAGTAGTAAGGCCAGGAGCCCCTAGTAGCATCCTTGTTGATATGCCCTGATATGCCCTGCCCTGAGCAATGGGCAGAATTGGTTACCAACTTTTGAGTTTCTGTGACAACAAGTTGGTCCCGGCCGCATGGCCCATACCTGATGCAGGATGCTGAACAATGCCCATGGAACAAATGAACAAATGGTTCAGGAATGTGAAAGGAATTTTCAGATTGCCATATTATTGTAAGTACTGGCCATAAATTGTGTAATGACGTAGCATGAATATAGGTACATAAACCATGCATGCATTGCATGCATGTGTAAAATTGACAAGCGCTGACCATCTGAGGCCTAATATATCTTAATATAGTTAAGTCAAGTCAGTGAAGGCCAAAACATTGATGAATCATGAGAGCCGCTGCTCACAATTCCAGCAAAATCAGCGGACACTGAGGCGACGCGGCGACGCGTGGCGCACGACATCCGCACAGCAGCAGCGACTGCCTCGTGACCACAAATTTGGGGGCACAGCATGTTTGACGGTTTGAGCTTCCCGGATTCCCTAAGAGTTTTGGAATGTTTTGGATATTTAGGAACCGAATTAAAAAAGCAAGCATTTCAAGGAATAAAAGAAATCTGCGCCTCGCGGGTTGTACCTACCGAAGCTACGTAAGCCCCTATCCCCCACCCCCGAACCTATCCCCCACCCCCGAACCGTGCAAAAGAAGCTAGGCCTCAACATTGGCAACAACAAGTTCCATGCCATGAGGGCGATCGAAGCGGATAAAACCGAGTCTGGATCGACTTGATCCCAAAGGCCTCAACACGCATTCGACACACTAGTTGTTAAACAAATACACACACAAATAAAAAAGGTGTTGACACTTATCGGCCCTTCGGTCTCTGATGGCCTCTGCAAACAAACCAAGTCACCTGGGTCACCTCATCCGTGGGGTGTCTGAGTTGCCCTTAAACATTCGAAGCCACACAAAGCCACTCAGAAACTTGCCTACAGTGGTCAATATAAAGGAAAATACTAAAAGAATGTGTGGTGGGGTAAGGAAGGGGCATCAGCAACAAACCTTGGTCTCGTTGTTGGTCTCGCCTCTCCTCTCCTCGGTTTGCCTCTTTGGTTGCAGAGGAATCCAAAACACAGGCAGAACCAACTGAAAGTGTAAGGCCGTAAGACTGCGCTAGAAGTACGCTAACATCATCAACTTGGCATCCTGTGTTTCCATGTTTTTTTTCAAACAACTAGGAGTAAATGCTTGCAATCACCTGCTAGTGCCATATCTGGCAAGCAGGCAGTGAATTTGTCTTTGAACGAATTGCCTCCAAGCCCTCAAGAGGCTAACAGCGATTGCCATGAGGAATCATGTGAGACCGCCAAGCGGCAAATGACTAGCAGACTAGCAGTGCGTCAATCGCACCAATTAATCAATATTACTACTCATTCAATCTCTTTCATCTCTGCATCAGCTCAAAGGTGTGCGCTCAGGCTCCGCCGGCCTTCAGCTTAAGGTACCAATAGTTTGGGACTTGCCAAAAACCTTTCAATGAATGCCCTGATGCGCTTCAGTTTTCTCTGTGAAGACAGCTGCCCTCAGCTACCAAAGTAGACTCAAGTTGCTGTGGGGAATGTGCAGGCCCCCTTTTGGGGTGCCAGCTGCAAACGGACAGTGGTTTGACTAGATAACTAATTACAGTAAGTTGATATGCAGGTATGTACAACAAGTTGCAACGAGACCCCCTGATAGCAACGGCCTTGCGTCTCTTTGCCGGCTTCTCAGCCTGTGGCTTCTCCTAAGCTCAAGGCGGGTTCCTTTGCTGGTGGTCCATTCAGGCAGCTACCAGCTACTGGCGCACCTGCTTCGCGATCTTTTCAGCTTTCGTAGGCTTCTTTTCCTTCTCTTTTTCCTTCTCGTTCTTCTCTTCTCCCTTCTCAGCTTTTTCTTTGTCAGCTTTGCCCTCCTTCTTTTTTCCATCCTCTTGTTCCTCTTCCTTTTGAGATGGCTTGTCTTGGAGGGACGCAACTTGCACCAGAAGGACCTGCAAAATCATCGCTGAACATCTGGCATTACTCATTGTTCCTTGTCGCGAGACCTTCACTCCAATCACTTGAGTGCCTGCAATATTCTTGGGTGCTTGGTGATCTCTGGGCTACTGCACACCAACATCAACTCAGCAGGCTTCAGGGCGAGCCTGGCCGGAGCACAGAATAAAAAAAACACAGAAGTGAACTGTGGACTGAGACACGGGGAAGATGGACACCCGGCACATCATGCGGACAAAACCAACAATTTATGAAGTTGACACAACTTTATTGGAAGTCTGTGCTGATTTCTGCAGTCTCTGTTGTGGTGTCCGCTACATCGATATGTTGCTTTTTCTGGTAGTCTGTTGCTGTGTGCTCTCTTGCTTTCCCGATCACTGCACAACCAACCGGCCATTTCCATGCATGCCACACTAATCACTAATTATGCCTTGGTACTCGGCAAATCTCGGCAATCCTTCCTGTTTAAAGAAACCGTTTCTGCTGGTATTCGCAATCTGAAGGCCAGACCGCACGCCTTGAATAGTGTTCTTCTCAGTAAAGGGCAGTTAAGACAAAGAGACAAAACTCAACCTGAAATAAACCAGTCTTGTTCAGAGCACTCTTACACAGTAATTGTTTTATAGCATTTTATAGCATCTCTTATCGGCAAACGCAGAACAACTCTAAATCCGTCGCGAGACGTTGGCTCACTTGGTTCAGTACCTTTTTGGGGTCTACGTTGCAAACCCGGAGGTGCCCCATATACGGGCTTTGATTTCTGCATGATGCCAAATCAAACTGCCTCTCGGTAATCTTTTCTCGGAGAAGGTCCAGGCCAAACTCCTCACACCTGGGCAAACCGCACGCTACCAGGAGCAAAGGGCATCGCTACTAGGAGCAAGGACGCTACTAGGGCTCCTGGCCTGACTACTAGGAACAAGAAGCTACTAGGAGCAAGCTGAGCATATTGCATGTGACTCATGCTGCTGGAGAGTATTCGAGGGCATATCGGCCCCAATGTTTCCAGGGGTGCGCCAAGCAAGAGGATGCAAGCTTAATTACAAAATTACATATGGAAACACACATCTTTACAGGGCATGGAACTCGGATCTTTCCGCTTGCACGACAGCAGGACAGAACGTCTTGAGACTTGATACTTTCAATGCATCTCATCTCAGACTTAGACGTGACCAGTCTCTCCAGAACGTTCTCTGTGGTCAGGCCAGTGGCGAGCCATCTGGCCTAAACCATATGCCACATGCCACGTCAGAGTAGCTCAAACTCGAACAGCCAGTGGACTAGCTGAGGGCAGAGGCTACCTGAGGCGCAAGCTGCATGCTCGTGCAAATGACTGAAGCCAAAATGGCGCGCCAGCCGAAGCACATCTTTGTTTACCTCCACATCCGTCAAGCCATAGGTGCAAATCATCAAACGATCGCATCAAACAGTAAGAATCCTCAAAGCACCCGGAAGTTCAAATCTGGCGCCTCTGCACTTGTCGCGCTGTACTGCCAATCTGCCTTTCGATGTTTGAGTGGTCTGCTGCAAGCTGGAGTTCAGATCTGAGTATCCTGAGACCTAACCATATTATGCATAAAAATATATACAAACATACGCCTGTCAGAACCCTAGGCTGAAATAGCAAAGACTACTTTGTGAAAACCTCCTTACTTTGATGGAAGAGTTTTGCGAGAGGCATTATCTATCTGTATGAATGGGGCTTCATAGTCGCTACAAGATTGCAACATACAACTCTGCAGGCAAAATTCATCTTGTACGTTTGATTCAAACTTCCAAGGCGTGCAATAGGTTCCTGTAAAGCCACCCCGGCCGCACTCATGTTTGCGACTATGATGACTTGGCCAGAGCATTGGAGGCATATCCTCCTGTATCTGTTTTCTTGCAACTTTGGTCTATATACATACTGTACAAAGTGCCCACACTTCAATTAGCCAGCTCTTCTTTAAACCTCTATATAATCGATTACTTCACGAGTCTGCAACTATATATCTGCGATTATAAGTATACAGTACCTACAGTGCAAACATGTCAAGCTCGTGTTCTATTGTCAAACCAACCACACTGATTCAGAGATCACAAGTGATCACAATGTCAGAGCGATTCATGTGATGCTTTTGTCATGCTTTTGTCCGGTGAGTGGGTCTTCCAAGTGTCTCTTTTCACATCTGTACCACTCAGGCAATTTGACAGACAATGCATCATGAATATCTTGGATGACATTGTCCCATGTCTTGAAGAAACCACAGGTACAATAGTGATAGCCATACGCAGAGTGTAATAAAGAAGCATGAATGATGAAACCTTGGAAACGTCGAAAACCATGTACAGTCCCTCGACGTTGAAGAGCTTGAGCATTCAGAAGCTCTGGACGTTCGCTTGTCTTTCTGCCGGACTTAGGCGAATGCTCCACCAAATCCTTTGTAGACGTAATCCAGGAGAATGTGCATGGCCTGAAACTGTGGAACAACCTCTCTCTGATAGACTGAGCACCTTTCGTGTGCCCACCTCTGCTGAAGACAAGCCCTTTACATCGAGGCGCCTTTTCTCATTTCTTTTGGCCTCAGCACCGAGATCCAACTTTGAGCAGAAGTCGAGACAGTTCCAGCCAAAGACAGACCGGCTTGTCAGCTTGTTCACTTCATTTCACTTCCTTCAGTTGTAGTGTGCCTGACTGTCGGAGGATGATTCTGTCTCTCCTGCTGACCTCAATCATCTGGATGATGAAAGCGGAATAATAGTGCAGTTCAGAAGGAAACAGGTAAGGTAAAGCGCCCTTTAAAGGGGGCCTTACCTTACTTTTCAACAAATACATTTCCTCTCAAACACTGCTGCAAAATCACACACGTCTGCAATGTCTGTACTCTTCCAAGTTCCCAGCGGTGCATTTTCTTTCGATGTGTCGGTGTCCACCTCACCAAATCCATTGAACCAAGTGTTAGTAAATAACCTATGCTAATGACCAAGTCTCAACCTAAGAGCGATGGCCTCTAACCTAATAGTAACAATAAGAAGAACTGTCTTCATTCTCAAAAAAAAAGTCGCGTCTCATTCGGCCTGCTCGCTTGGCTGCTTTTCTTCGGCCTGACCTGCATTGCGACAGCAGTCAATACCTATACAAATAGAAGGTCGAAGGCCGTCCATCACACATGTGGGGTATTGTCTGTGCTTCTGTTTGATGTTGTGGGACATGTACCTTTGCCACACACCTTCGCATTTGCAGCTAAGGATTCTGCCGCTTTTGGGGGAAGCATCTGGCTGAGCCTGAGCATTTCAAGCCAAGCTGACATGGTTTCACATAAAGGAAAGGCCGCCACCACCGGCACACGTGCTTGAACTGCAAGTAGCTCCTGCAAGTAGGACAAACAGTGTCCAGGTTCAAGCGACCATGCAGATGCAGACCAACACCAGCCTCCATTACTTTTGGACTATCACATGCAGCCTCTTGACGCATGCTCAGTCCAAGCCTCATGTGCAGCAAGTGCTTCTCTCTTTCATTCTGATATGTTGAAATGCATAAAGTGCCTCATACATCAAGCACCATATCTCAACTCTCATCTTCCCAAGGTGCAAACGAAGGATTCTGTCTCAAGAAGGTGCAGAAACTGGCACTGCTTGCAGCCAGAACTACCTCAATTGACACTGAAGCTTTCTGTTTAAGCCAAAACATATATAGAGTCATAGAGGCCACAAAGAACGAACTGGGCTTGTGGGATAGGGCGTTGGCAGCATGAGCTTCAATGTCCTCCTCACCCGCCACAAAGACAAGGTCGCAGCCTGAAGCAATCACGACAATACGACGCCTCCTAGCAACATCGCTTGCATTCTGTCAAGTTGACAGCACACATGATGGACAAAATTAAGAAGGGAACATTCTTTGTTTGCCAGAAGGGATCGCAGTCCTCACGGAAATTGAAAAAGCTGAAATGCTTCTCGAAGTACAGGAAAGTAACTTCGTGCTATTTGGGTCCAAAGAAAACAAAAACTGTTCTTCCAGTGCCTCTCAAGCTTTTCTGGTCGTCCTGCGTTGAACTCCTGAGGAGCAGCTCCACAACATTTGACGTCAAGATCCATGGGCACAGCACCTTTCGTCAGAACGGTTCTTTGATGCTTGAATTTTGCAGGTGTTCAACTTTCATCAAATTTAAAGAGCCAGTCTTGCACCATTGATCAGGTTTCTCGTTTGGGGAGCGCAAAGAACTCAACGTGTTGGCCTGCCACCGCTCTGCAACTCACCGTTTCCTCTTGTGGACGGTACATGACTCGACGGTACAATGTATGCCTCTGGAAGGATGAAGTAGTTTCCGAATGGAGCCGTGCTTTTGGCGGGGCACCATGTCTTTTGTCAAGATCCGAATGTATGCGGACGGTTCCCTTCAAGAGCCTAATAGAAGCAACTAAGCAACACACTGACCAACCTGAACACAAACAAGATTCCAATCTGCCGTCTGTCCAGTTTTTGAGTAAGTAACCGAATCTCCCAACTCTTCACTCCCGAACTGGGACAAAATACATCATAGAAGAATGACCGACTCAGCCCAGCTTGCAAAGGCATGGAGTAGTACAAGTATTGCTCATGTCACATGCTTATTTGGAACAAAACTCAAAACAAATCTTTAAAATATTCAAGTCTTTGGTCCAGGTTGTCTTAGTTCCATGATTTCCAGGTGTGGTCAGGAAGGGTTGTCAGCACCCCCCCGCCCATAACACAACAAACAAAACAAACTCAGTCATCAAACTATTGTCAAGCAAACATGAGACAGAATACTTTCAAGCACAGGTGCGGCATTGCTAGATAAATCGAACACTGTCTCAAGTGCCATGCACATTGGGTTGTTCTTAAACGCAAGAGTCTCTGGGCTTTCTTCAAAAACCCTTGCATGATCCTTCTGTTTTGTGCCAGACAATGTCAGGGGTAAACGTCCACTAAACAGCCCTGCCATGTGCCCTTTAGGCCTTTGACATGTCTTCGCAGTCCTTCCTCTTGAGGAGTTCCCATAAGTTCCCTAATTTGCACCTAACTGCGGGACGGCAGCTGCCATCTTTTCTGCCTCCACAAACTTGGCAGTGTTTTTCCAAAAAGACGAAAGGACGCAGAAGAACATGCTCAAAAAAACATTGAGGAAGAAACATGCATCCATGGCCTCCGCTGCCTCAGCCCTCCGGCTGTGCACATGCTGTGGCGTTCCCCACCTCGACTTCTGGTCAGCCACAGGCTGTTGGTTAAAACTTTGTGATGTTGCACGGTTCAAAAAAATGCCCAAAGCAACTTCGCCAAAGGTCAAACTAAAGGTGCCGGCCACATATAGCTGTGAAGCGCCTTCAGTGTTGTGCCTACAAGTCATGGGTGCTGCGAGCATCGACACACTGCCAAAAATATGATATGATTGGAGCAAGCCACCTCCAAAGGTCCGGCTCACTCTTCTTCCCTAAAGCTTTGGCCAAATTGCAGAGGAGACTTCAAGAGTCTGAGACTGCAGTGTCCTATGATGCTCACTGATGCTCAATAAAGAAAGATACCAGCCAAATATGGTAAACATACTTGATGAAACTTGATGAGACGCGACATTTCTTCGCGCACTATGCCCTATGCCTTTCATGGCAACGACGGTCATACCGTCCACTGCACAAAGGCCGATTGGCGGTCCTTTGTGAGAGGCTTAAGCAGGCGTAAGGCCCTTAAAGATTGTGTCTTAAAAGATGTGAGGCACGTCTGGTGCATGCGTCACAAGCAGCTCTGGGCGAACTTATTTCTCGCGTATCTTGACATCAAACTTTTCTGCGGCAGCCTGAGCAGCATGCGGCAGAAATGAACAAGTTATATGTGCGGCGGCATTTTTGTGGTACTAAACTCAAAAACACTATCTATTGTGTGGGGGCCCTATCTCGTTTAGACTACTTACGTAGGAGGTCATGTTACAGTATCTCGTTCAAACTACTTTAGTAGCAGTTCACACTATCTCGTTCAGACTACTTTAGTGTCATCAAACAAAAGTATCTCGTCTATGTGGGGGCCCTATCAGCGAATACTGATGATAGACAAGCAAATGGAGCATGCCGTAGACTACTTTAGTAAAGCCTAAATGAAAGTGGTTGCTCATATCATATCGAATCATCAAACGCATGCTTCACAAGAAAGCCTGTCAGCAGCCAAATACAATTATGTTACTTGGTGATTCAAACAGCCAAATACAATTATGTTACTTAGACTTGGTGATTCAAGAAGTTCGCAGCCAAGGTCTGCTAGAGCGTATCAGGGCAAGCCCCCAAACTGTCCTAAGCATGTTTGAAAATGTATGCCCGCTGGCATATCTGTTCTCTCCTGGAGGTTCTTAGTGGAGCCCACAGCACAGTGCGGATGCTTGAATATGCGAAAGTGTCTAGGGAAACGTGAATGGAATCTAAGAGAACACAAACCTGGCGATCTAGGTGAGACCAACTATATGGATTTATCCGATAGAACTCTGTACAGTACCAGGCAGAATCTAACCCCTTGAAGAATCGGGCACCAGCTTGGAACTGATTTGTCGAACTTTGATGCGAGCAGGCCTTCGGAATGAATGCACAATAAAGTCTGAATGGAGGTCAAAGGAAGCTCTGAAGAGTCAGAGGAAGGTTAAAGGACCTTTCAAGAGTAAAGTTGGGTCCATTCGGTTTGGAAGCAAAATGTGCTGTGGAATTTCATGTGACCATTGCTTTTGAATCCTTTTCAATCGGGAGTGCATTCGGAGGAGACAGAGAGATCAGAGAGCATCTCTTATCTGAAGTGAGATGAGAAGTTTCATCCTGAAGGTCAACTCTCAAGCTTCTGGAAACTTGGAGGGAGCTCTGCCATCGTATCCTGAGCACTGACCTGAGCTCTATGCAAGAGCACCAGAGACCCGGGAGAACTTGTAGAGCTGTGTTTTAGTTTTGTTGACATTGAAACTAAATCCGCGGAGGACAGTGTGACAGTGTGCCTATGGAAATGATGATGAGCAATGCATTTCGTGAAGGAAAGCAAGTCAATATAAATCTTGACATGCAAGGATTCCAACCACTGTAAAGAGCGCCAGCCCACAACCCGAACTCTCGGCCCAAAGCGTGCATCAAACCTAAAAAGCCATGCAGGATCGTGCAGGTCTTACAGCCGCGACTGCGACTCAACCGACTTGTCAAGGCCGATTCAAAGTGGTGACAGCTGCTGACATTCCAAAGTGTTCAGCGTGGCATCTCAGCCACTTTGGAGTTCATGTCGTTGCTGCGGGGGTGGGAGTGTTATGAGAAGCTAAACAAAGTCAAAGGCCTTTGGTGCGTTCACAGTTTTAGGCTAAGGGAAGAATCGAAGGAAGAGGTTCTGAGTCTTGAATGTGTTGGACTAGTTTTGAATTGTGCTGCAACAACATAGACTCAAAATCTGTAATTCTGGGGGGTATTGTTGGCCAAGCCTGTGCCAACTCACTTGCCGTCTGCCGAACCCAGCTCTGGATGCCTATGACCTGAACAGGTCCATTGCATTTGAACTGCTAGGAAGTATATACTAGTAGCGTCCTTGCTCCTAGTAGTGATGCCCTTTTCTCCTAGTATAGCTTCTTGTTCTATTTATCATACCGCTGGTGCATGAACAGAACTCGCCTGATCTAAGCCAGCAGTCTCTATGGCATTTGTGACAATATCCTCGCAACGCGGGAAAACTTCAATTCGCCGATGAGACTTATTTGAGCTGTATCAAAATCCTATGATGGCGGTTTAACCCAGTCCAGAGAGAGCTCGCGAAGTTCCTTCACAAAGCAGCTGTGAAAGTGCTGTGACTGTTGGGTTTGAGTCACCTTGAGGTCAAGAGTTTCGCCAGCTCTCAGAACCACCCTGCGACTGATTGAAGTCCTCCACGGAACATGACACACAAGCATCTCCGGAAGACATTCAAGTCCAAATCATCAGAACTTAGTAACAAGTCCATCGCTACTAGTAACAATTGCATCGCTACTACATGCTACTAGTAACAAGTGCATTACTACTAGTGGCAAGAAGCTACTACTAGCGATGCCCTTGTTACTAGTACGAGTAGCTGTATTCCATCCTCATGCCATGGATCATCTTGGCTGCTTCGTCTGGATCCTTTAACCTGTCAGGTCAGACATGGTTAAAGCGCTTTTGGGGTCAGCTCCCTTACGACCCTCATGACATGGCGATGACCAATGCGGGGGGTGCTCGACCTTTGTCCAACGAATGCAGCAATTGTGAACATTGAAATCCAAGCCACTGCAGGTATCTACTCCCACGATTGACTGTTTGATCTCACATCTATCTGCATCAGGCATCCATCTGCATCTATCGGAAAACTGCATGTCCATCCTTGTGGTTGTGCCATGTTGTTTGTGCCCGCTCACCGTGAAGATCTCGCATCCCGCTGCTTCCAGCTGCTTGCAAATCATACCGACCACTTGAATGTAGCATTTCTTGGCTAAACAGTTTACCCAGGAGGACCATTCCATGATTCTGTCGGTGATACGAAGAGTCTCACATGCTGGGGATCTTGTTGTGTCCATGAGGATTTGAGCTCCTGCTAGATCTTTCAGCTGAAAACTCTGTCTGCAAAAACATTTGATATTTTCGGTGAATCAAATTGCTGGCAACTGGCAACCAACCGGCGTCTCTGTCGACTAGCCTGCTTGGCAGCTCCTGTTTGTCTGACTGGTCACCGTTCACTTTGTTGAACCTGTGACACAATCTGAAGCTTTGTGAATTAGGCGACAGCAGGTGCTATTTTGTTGGCTCAGATTCCACATGATTCCTTTTATTCAGAGTTGTTCACTGTTCTTCCAATTCCAAAAATGGCCTTTGGGAAGAGTTTCTCACCAGGTCCTGGAACCGAGAAGGAGTGAGAAGGAGCGTATCAACTCTGAGTCAGTCACCGGTTCTTTGACCAAGTGCATTGAAATATCTTCAAAAAAAGGAACTAAAAGGTGTCCATAAAAGCTCTATCATGTACCTCCTTTGTGTGTATCGGATCTATATAAATGTATTCTATATGTTTGAATATTCCCCGTTCTATAGCTGATTGTCGTGTCCCGTCCTGTCCGCGCTGGATGTCACTCTCTTCCAGCTCGTCCTCAATGGTTGGATCCACATTTTCCTTGGCTAAGTTTGACAGCCATTGCCAGGCCACTGACGGAGTAATTCCCTCAAACAGCGTCAGAGTGCTTGCAAAATCAAGCTGCTGAGCCAATTAAGCATTTTGCAGTTTACAGACCTACCGTTGTTCCTTTGAACATCTGCACATGTCAAAATAAGCCTTTGGCAAAGCGGGCCCAATCACCTTCTGGAGGGGCAAAAGCCATCACCTTCGAGAAAGCTAACTTGAAGACGTTGTCAACCTACAGAATTGCATTGCCTTCTTGCCAAAGGTGTTGTTCATCTTGTGCACGTAGCGGTACGCACACATACGGTGTTGCAAAGTGAGCTGTGGGGTCATCTCCAGGAAAGCCTTCAGACAGAATTGCGGGAGTATCCGGCTCAGTTGAAAGAACAAAAGGCGCCTGCAACGTTTTTGCATGGATCAGGAGAGAATTCACATCCTCCTCTGATGCCTGATGACTGAAACGGTGACTTGCTCTGATATGATTGATTCCAATAAGCCTCCAATATTTTGACAGAGCCCGAAGCAAGCGCAGAGTCCACCTGCTACGTTCATGCTAAATTCACTTCCAGGCCGGCTGATGCGTTAGCATATGACCTCCTCCGAAGTTGAGCAAGTGGTCAAGCTTGTTGGCCTGCAAGCATGCATGCAATTCAGTCCCATTTGATGCAAAGATCAAGTTGCTTGGAAGACAAACTACGAATGGGGCTTGATCTTTGGTCCGCGACTTCTAGCTTAAACTTGCCTGGCGCATTTGTCGCATCGCACTGCGATCACACGAGAATCAGCAGCCGCTCGCCGCAGTGTTGAGATCACCAAGGAAGAAAACCTCCGAAGTAAAAAATGGAATGCAATTGAAATTTCATAGGAACCTTAGGGAGGAGGACTTCGACGGGGCTGGGACTTCTCACCCTGAGATTCCCTAAGACTGCTTAGGAATCTCACAACTTCCTTGAGGTTAAGTTCCGTCGTTGCCCTCCTCCAAAAGGTTACTGTAAGAAGGCAAAGCTGGGCCAAGAAGAAGCTTGTTTGGGTTCACTGGCTCCTTTGTGCTCCTTCAGTGTCTCCAATATTTCAAACAGCACATACAAGACCTGGAACTCCATATGTGTCCAGGTCTCATCAAAGAAACCCAGGCCTGCACAAGTGCTGAGGAGAATCACAAAGCAGCAACTGCAAATGGACAGCAAATGCAGTGCAAATGGGTTCGAAGGTAGAAGAAGCACCTGTGACATATCAGAACTGGCCATCAATGCCGCTGCTGCCTCACCGCATATTGTCACAGCAGGAACCTCTCAAGACTGGAAGCAAAGCACCTTCGCATGCTCGAAGAACGGCTTCTTGACCCTAGACTCCAGCCACATGACCTCTGGTCAAAAGCTGTGTCTGGCTTATGAATCACATCTGCCAACAATGAGTTTTGCATGAATGTACATTCCCATCATGCAAATCTTTGGGCACCATGCTGTCTTGGAGTTTTTACCCCGGGTCGCAGTCAGCTTTGCTTCCACCTATAGCACACTGAAAATGCATGCAAATGCACTATGTTCGCTTTGGAGTTGCACGTGTCGTGAGCAGCTTGATCTCTCATCTTTCAAAACCCAGTGGGTAAGCAAACAAAGCTAGCCGGCTCATTGGAATGTATTTTGCTCACGACACTCTTGAAGCGTAAAAGACTGTCGACTCCTCTATGGCATTGTACCCTTTACCGTACCCCCACCAACATTGCTCCTCTAGATTGGCCCACAAACCTATCTTAGGGGACTTAGGACAGATTTCACGTGGTTGCCATGATGACCACATGTGGTGTTGCTATAGTTTGCGTGCATGCGCGAGTCTGTCATCAAAGTTCTGTGTCCTATGCCTCCCTCCATCTGGACTGCATGCAACTGCGTGTTTGCTTGTGATGTTGCGTGTGTTGGATTTGTAGGTTTTGAGCCTTGTGGGCAAGTGCATCACCACTAGTAGCTAGAAGCTACACCATTTTCGGACCTCACTCAAAAACGTGGTCCTCCGGTATCTATTCGCAAAGCCCATCAAACGGCGGATTTAGAAGTGCAATGTATATGATCGGAGGTCCAGGCAAAACCAGTTGTTTTGCGTACATTCAATGTATGCCCAAGGCCTTTGAGGCTGCCTCATGACTTTGCCTTGCACCTAATTTGTCCATCCTAGACTCCACAGGTATTTTGTCTTTATCAGTGTCCATGCTATTTGGAGCATTTCATGAATAAGCATGACTCATGACCTTAAAGAGCAGCATGTAACAGCTAGCAGTAATCCAGGAATAGAAAGCCAAAGCAACCCGCGACATTCAAATTAGGTATAATTAGGCAACAGCATCAATATATATATATATATCATTATATATCATATATCGATATCAACTTCACAAGCCACCGTAACAAAGAAATCGATGTACTGGCGCTGACAAGCCTCCCTGGCAAGTTCAGGAGTGTCTGCGTGCCAACTCACATAGACACCGGCGACATGTTCCTCACATCTGCTTGATTCATACTCCGATTCATACTGAGCGTATTCATCAACTGCGGCACCTGTATCAGCGTACTCATCAACGTGCTCGTCAAGGAGGCCAAGCATGCACTTGAGATTTCGGCACAAACCTTGCAAGTGTGCAATTTCATCTATTAATATGTAAAGTTGATCCATGCTCCAAAACTCGAGAAATCTATAACTCAACTGCTCCTTCACAAACAATCATAAACTTGTTGGTGTTTCTTGAACCCGCTTAAGCCACAAACAGCAGGCTCTTTTTGAGGACCAACTTTGCGTCCGATGAGCAGCGCATCAAGCTTGGCTCTCAAATGGTCTGAATTTTTCTTGGCCATTTTGGCCTGTTCACATCAATCAGTAGATCTGTATTAACGCAATTGTCCAGATCAACTTATTCTGCGGATAGAAACTGGTTGAAGGCTGTATTACAGTAACGAAATTGTCCAGGTCGACTTACTCTGTGGATAGAAACTGGTTGAAGGGCTGTGGTATCGAAGGATCTTGAATAAGGTCGAATTCAGAGTGAAACCTATTTTGGAGATCTGTGCCATCAGGCACGATGCTACCAACTCAGCGGAATGATCAACATCGTAGCCTCGAAATCTCATTGCATTGCCCCCAAAGGTCCACTCTGGTCCAGTGTGCTCTTGCGCTTGTTATGCCACAGGTCAATCAGAGTCCATAGGTCAACCAAGTGCGCAGCTAGCCACACAAACATAGATGGCGTGCATCTTCGCCAGGCGTGGTTGCACTTGACCTTGCACCTTTGAGACAACTGAGTTGAGTCTCAGTTTTTTTCAAAATGCCAGTGCTTCCCGCTGGTAAGGTCTTTCAAACAATTCTCTGAGAACTGAGGATTCTCACTCAGGATTTGCATGCCTCACAGTGAGGCATCGTGACTCCACTGCTGCGTCTAGGCCTTGGCGGCCAAATTAAGTGCGTTTGGAAGCTGTGCTGCCAAGGAGCCTGGGAGTTCATGTTCAAGCAAAGCAAGCAGGTGCAAAGGAATACAAGCTGCTCCAACACCCCTCTGCTTGCCCCGACAAGGTTGTGGACAAACAAAATCTTAGCAGTCTTAGCAACTGGCAGTTTAATTTGTTCGCACAGTGCACGACACACATCATGCCCTCGCAATCTGCTCCATCGTCTTTCATTGCATCCTAAGGGTGCGAAGTGTGATGACAAGAAGGAAACACGCGAACCTTACAGCTCTGACCAGATCTTGAGATGCGCACACGAACTGCTGCATCTACAAGCGCTAGTTGATCTGCTCCTGTCTTTCGGCACTGAGTCCCGCTGCCTGTCGCAGAGCACGTTGCACCATGCTTCACCCAGGTATGCTGTGCTTGCTTATATATATATATACTGTATATATATATATATGTGTGTGTGTATGTATATATATATCATTATATATCTACAGGAACTCGTCACGCCTCCAAACACGTCACAACCTGGCTCTTTCAATTGAAGGTGCGTAGTTAATTGACTTGAAACTCCCGCAAAATTAAGGAATTGGTTTGCAGGATTCCTGAAGTCAACTTCGCTGTTGTTTATGGCTCTTAGGGCCGCTGCCCAGCAAACACTTGCAAACAGCGGAAGGACCGCCAACGCACCTGATCAGGACAGTCAAACACAGCCAACAAGAATGGGTGCCCACAGTCAAGGCCCATGGCATCTGCATGCATCTTCCATATTTGTCACGTTCATAATGAGAGTCATTGATTCAGCACGGCGTTCATGTTACAGTGAATCAGGATGTGTCAGTTCGACTACCCCGATTTGAGTGCCCGGACTCCATTTCTTCTGCATCGGCCAAAGGAAAGGCCAGTGCCAGGAGCACCTTAAGTGAGCTGGACTCTTTATATAATGAGTTTGACTCAGACAAAGGATGTCGAAGGTTTAAGGAGGCAGCCAAACTACAAAGGTTCTGATGCATCTGTTCTCACAACCTGGGCTCAAACGTGGCGGAGGTATCTAGAGGCTTGCAAAAGCATGTAAAAGCCATCTAGCACAGCTGCTTCCGTACATGTTTTGTTTATTTCTGAGGCTCCTGCTTCCGGTGAGTTTTTCACGGAGTGATTGATTTTGCTTCGAGCCAGGATGTCGAGACAAGAAAAATAGAAAAGCAAATTGCCTTCTATGCAGTGATTTCAAAATAGTTCAGCAACGCCGTCAATCTTTGCTGGGCTCGCAATCATTTTGTACTAAGAGCCCAGCCAGCATGACCAGAAATGCCTCTGCTTCTTTGGCAGCCTCAGAGAGTTTCATGCCAGAGTCCCATACAATTTTCTTGGGGCGGGGCCAGCCTTTGGTGCTGGTTCCGCACCACCTGAGAACAATGCAGGCATTTGGGCACATTGTGCAAGCTTTGAGTTCAAGCTCACTCCACATAAATGAAACTGTGACCCGAACTACATTTTAACTTGTGACTCTTCCAATGCTCAGCCTGGCAAGGCACGCTGCACAACAACGCATCATCCACTTCACCTACTCTCTCCGAAGCCTGATGTGATCTCGAGCAATACCATACTTTTTGACATCTGCCTGATGGGATTGACATACAATAAAGCTGTGGAACCTTTACACATTCTCATCAACAAGCTACCGAGAAGCTTGCTTCTTAGGGCCCAGCCGCATTTTGAGTCTGCTTTTTGAGCACAAACTGCACACAAATGCTCGACAACCTGGAATGTTCAGACCCAAGCTGGCCCAAGGCTGATATAAAAATGCAGAGCGATCTGTGACCTGTGTGTCATGATGTTTGCATTTCAATTCGAAAGCTGTTTGGAAGTAATCGGAATCTGGACAGCTTCACTGGACCAACTGACGGAAGAGCACTGTCAAGCTGAACCTCTGCTGGTTGAGAATTTGATGGCTGCAACTCGTCCCCTTTTTGAGTGTTCTGCAGAAAATTAATCTACATTGGCATTAAAAAAGGAAACAAACGCCTTCAGAGCAAACCGTTGCAAGGCATTCCAATATTCTGGATGATGGCCAATGTTGTTGTGGCTTGCATCCTGGCATTTTGGAATACAAGGACGCAACATAGCCAACTGCACTTCCTGAAAAAATTAGAAAGCTGAACGATTCCAACAAGGGTTCTTCAAGGAAGCTTTTCCTCTTCTCCAAGCCTCTGCGTACCTTTCTCATCCTTTCTCTACAGTACTACCATTGACAAAAATAAACGTACCTCGCGGCCTACCTCGAGTTACTGCAAATAGAAATAGCCATAGCAGAAAACCCGAATGCTAACATGTGCTAACACCCAAAAGCATAATTTCTCAACGAAAAAATGTGCATCCTTCACGAGCACAAGCTCTTTCTGCCGTGATGATGTTGCTGCATGGAGGCTTTCACTCCCTTCGTACGGTACCTGCCGCATCTGCTGCTACAATAGGGTTCTCCGCCAGAATCGGGAAACCTACTGTGGTCGATACTATGTATGTGAGTATAATTTTGTTTATCCGTGTCCATGTCTCGCAGAAACTTCAAGGCTGCTCTCCCTCATCATCAAGAAGTGAGTGCACGAAGTCATCTTCGAGACCGTGGAGAAGCAGCAGCTGGCCATTGAATGCACCTCTTGATAAGCGTGCTAAATGCTACTAATGGGAGGAGGGCAGCTTGTTTGAGGCGCACCAAATATGAGAAATAACGATAAATACTTATATAATATATCATACATAGTTCCTTTTGGCAAGCACTCTAATTAGTATGAACTATATACTACTGTACAGTATTGGCTCAAGTAGCTTTGCTTTGCTCTTCCTCCAATTTTGCCCAAAGCTGTGCATTTCTGCGCTGAGGTGCTGACGAATCTTGTCTAATGCACCCAAGGTCCACAGCTCTGCATCTAACGGCTGCAGAACCTTAAAATGTCTAAGTCACCAGTCTGTGTTTCTTGCCCATCAACACTCATCAACTCCAAAGGAAGAGTTCATCCACCGGTCGCTTGTCTACGACGAGGAGCCTCCAAGTTTGCATTTTCAAGCTCCTGGTTTCTTTGGTGTGCACATGTGCCACATTGATATTATAGTTCTTTATACCAATCCTGCCAATACTGAATTCTCTTTGCTATCCACAGTCCTTGCGCCACTGCTTCAAGACTTCCAGCCTTGCCTCTCCCAAGCCTGATCACGTGAGTACTGACGTGGAGGTCAAGCTCTTGGGCTGGGCTGGGCTCTTGGCTCTTGGGTGTGTGGAACTAAGAGATTGGCGGTCACCAGTTGCAGAAGTGGCTACAGCAGAGTCCTTGGCCGAGGTGCATTGTACATGACGTACATGACAACAACACCTTCTGCAAAGGGTACTACATGCTCAAGCAGTTGTCACTGAGTGCACAACTAGAACCATTGCCCTGTAGAAGTCAATGATGTTCAGTGGGGATGACTGTATATGTCATGATCTGTGGAGGTCGAGGTGAACTCAAGGTTTGTATCTGGGCAACTACCTTGCCTGAAAAGCGATGGAAACAGCACTGCCAAGTGCACCGCCACCTGCCCAAAATGCTCCACAAAGCCTTCACTGTTACTTTTGGATATTAATATGCTTTTAGTTCAACAACAAACCATTCCAGTCAAAATCCTGTCATCGCAATGCTTTCTGTTGCCACAAAAGGCCTGTGCCCCGATGGATCTCCCTGAGAGTATCAAGCCGCCTTGGACTTTGAAACTGGTCAGTGAAGCATAGTGAAGCAATTCTTCTTTCTCTCAAAGCATCTTGCAAATAGAACAATTCTTCTTTCTAGGACATGGCCGGGGTATGGCCACGACAGCCCATGCTGCACAAAGAGCTCGGGCCTAGGAGCCAAGCTACACAAACTGTGCGAAGCTCGCCTCTCGGCGGCTGATGTGAGGGCACCACAGCTTTTCTGCCAGTGGCTCTGCCTCAAGGTGCAGGTCTCGGCAAACATTGTTTTCACAGCACATACCGTTCATGCAAATTCATGCGGCTGTAAACTCGTGCAAGCTGCACAGAGCTGCGCATTCACACTCTTATGCCTTTAAAGCTTGGAAGTGGACGTCTTTCAGGAAAGTCGCCAGCGACGGTTCTCCCCCTGACCAGCCTGGCTGCTTTGAATGTTAGTAATCTTGCAAGTTAATGCAAGTTATAGAAAACACAAGGAAAACTAGACAGCAAACATGGCCGTCACAAACATCAAACACAGCTAGTGGCACCGTATCCTCTGTAGTCAGCCACGAGCAAATGTGCGGGGAGGTCCTGCCAATCAGAGCCATTGTCTTGGTTCGGTCCATATCAAATGCATGTCAATGTGAAGCAGTCCCGGTACTTTTCTGCCAGCTGTGGCAGCAAATAGTCGGCTGCTATCTCACCTAGTTCTAAAGCTCTGCTTCGGCGATGAGCTGCACATCAAAAGCTGGGCTCAACACCACTGCCATGAAAGTGAAGGATTACAGGTGCGTTGGGATCCTTCTGGTTCTTCAGCAAAACATACCTGGAAGTCACTAGCTGTAAGAGGACGAATTGTCATTCCGGCTGATGTGCCCCGGTCATGTCTACAATTCACTGGCACCCTATTCTGACGCCACCAGCTGGATAGGTTCCGTCTTCTGCCTTCATCCCAAAGATCATCCAACGAGCGCAAAGAATCGAAGGGAGAAGAGAATAACGGAAGATCACCGCGTAAGACAATATGTGTCAAGCACTTCTGAAAGGAATGCATTGTGTGCCTTGAAGTATCTCCAAAACATCATGTCTCAACGCGGTGAGCTTCAGAGGGCCTGCATACCATCGACGCATCCAGGCTCCGACCTTATCTCTTCGTGGAACCCCAACACACAATCATCCATAGTTCAATAGACCAATATAGACTAATCATATGCCCTGAATTGCCCTGAAATGTCTTGAAATGTCTGAGCCAAAGACAGGCGTTCTGCTTTTCGTGGCTTGAAAAGGCCCTGACCTGAAACAGCTCCTCACCCGACATTTCTTGCATGCATTTGGAAGTAGCTCCCTCTGAGATTTCAACCAAGTGTGTGCCTGAGTACACGCGTCATGCAAGAGACAGGGTCCAATCGTGTCGTGTTATGAATACCGCCTTGTCAGTGCCGTGCGCTCTGCCTGTCCAAACGAAACCAACCTTCTGCAACCATTCGAATTGAGTGCCAAAGCGACAGAAAACAGCGCCATGTGCCTGCTCCCATGCTTCCAACAAAGGGCGTAACTCTTTGGAACAAGAGCCCTGCAAGTGCACTGGGTCCAGTCAGTCCAGTGAAAGAAGACACGTGCTAGAGAAAAGGAAAACTGAAACTACTTGCTGAACAGCGCCTTGTCTTGCACTTCTGAGCCCAAGCAGAGTCGTGCAAATGCAGCAAGGGCTGCTGCTAAGGGTCCTGCCTGGAGAAATCTAAAGATGTAAAGAGTGTACTGTCCATTTTCCTCATCGACGGTGGAACATGGCAAACTTTGAAAAAGGTCACTTTGGGGTGTGTGTGCGTGTGTTTGTTTGTGTGTGTGCCTTGTTGGAGCTGCCATATTTCTTTAGTGCCTTGGCTGAGAATGTGACGTGTGGGATGAGCGGAATGCATAAAGATACTTCTCATGCAAGGCAAACACTCAATACAAAGCTCTGACACCTCTTCCGCATCCCTCAATGCGGAGCTGTAGTGGTAGAACCTTGGAGGGTCTTCTTGAAGCCGCTACAAAAACTTGTGGACTGAATTTCCAACACCACGATACTTCAATCTATATACTATATAATTATGTACATAATGACTCTATATACAAGTATGTATATAACACTGTACAGAAGTCTGAACACCAATCGCAATCATTTCCAGGCCCGCCATGGCAAGACGTCAAATGCACGGTTGCATTCTACGAGCTTGCTACGAAAGACACATGTGTTGCAGTGTGCTTGGAACAGTGACACATTTTTACGTGTCCAATTGTGTGACTGTCTTCGAAGGAGAAACGGATCAGTACCAACCATGATTGGTAAAGCAACCCTTCCCTCCTAGTAGTAATGCCAGGAGCCACTAGTAGCGTCCTTGCTCCTAGTAGCGATGCCCTTCGTTCCTAGAAGCTTCTTGAAGTAGAGATTTCTGAGGAATCAGGAAGTACGAAATAGAAAACATTTATAAAGAAAGGTAGGGCTTTCTAGCGGACAATACATAATAGTACATAAAAGTAGTAGAGATTTCTTGAGAAAGGTCGTAAACTCCTTGAGTGCAGACAAGTACAAGATGTCTACAGAAAAATATCAAAAGTAGAGATGTCCTGCAACAAAGTTGCCACAACCTGGTCAGTACATGTGATGGAAGACATACAAACAAGACCTGGGATTTAGCAGCCTTTGTGTAGGGTGGCGGATCTACGTAAGGTGGCATTGCAGATTCTTTCGTATCAGTATAAAAATAAACAACTGTTATATAATAGGAGTGGGACAGAACCAACACAAGCTACGATTGGAAGACTGCCTTCAAATCTCACCAGAACCTATCACAAGCTGGGTCCTCGGGCTGGCACAATTGTAATTTCATCCCTCATATGATTGTCTTGAAAAGGGGGGCTTCTACTCGTTTCCTCTAGGCAACAGCTCTCTGAGTGAGTGATCCCAGGTCCTTGCATTTCTTGAATGGGGCTCAGGCTTCCATCGGAGAAGCGCACGTGTAACGAGGAAAAGACCTTGGTTCCATGGTGTTCATCAATAATACCAAAAAACTAATGTCCCTACGGTAGGTGGAGGAATTATTCAAACCCTGAACTTCATGGCGGCCCCCGCACCCCAAATTTCAATGATAGTAGGCTTTGCGGGGAGGTTAGGTCGAGTGGACGAAATAAATCAAACCCTGCCTGAGAAAAAAATCAAAGATGCCATCGCAACATTGAATTAGCGAGCAAGGAAGCTCGATAGATAGAATCTTACGGGAATCAATTAATTTGTCCACCTACTGCTTGTGTAGCTTTGACAACGTACTAAGTACCCCTTCGACATCCTTCGACTACTGAGAAAAAAGCTTTCACAAGGTCTTTCTTTAAGTCTTGGCATGTTCTGATCTTTACTACCGGTTGCACATTGAACGACAACTTACTTTGCTTGCGAAGGCCGCGCGTGCACGAAGCACTTCATGTCTGTTGGCATTGAGGAGTGCACCACTGGGCACTGCCGTTCTCTTCTCCAACACCTGAAAGGCTTCATCCCACCTCGGCCAGCCCATGGCCCCTAAATACATCAGCAGGTTACAACCCCGAACAATCAACTGTTTTCAATAGTTTAGAGCCTAGGCCATGAACCGTTGCTTGTGAGCCAGTTCCTCCACGCTCCGCAAGAAACCCCGAGTTTCTTCCTTCAGCAGTTGCGGCTTGAAATCAAGCAGAGACTGTCAAGTAAGGCATCTAATTAGTATTTTAGAGTATTTTCACGTTCCAACAGTTCGCTTCGTGCTCTGCGTAGGAAAAGAATCTCACACCGCCTTCCCCTCCAGCTCCGCTGCTCGCTTCACTTCTTCCTCCTCCTTCAGAAGTGCAGTGTGGCTAGAAGTTCCAGGAGCGCTAAAAGCAAGACATGGTCATCCTCCCCATCCCCACCTTTTTTTGTCGAAGGTAAGCAGGGCTGTCCGAGAAGGTGTACGGACACTCCTGTCAAAGTGGACCAACTCTGGGCCAAATTGTTTCAGCCTGTGCCAAGCCGCCACCTCTTCTAATGGGTTTTCAGTGATCAAAGCTCCTGGCTTTCAAGATGTGTAGGTCAGCCAAACAAAATCCAAAAATTGAAAGGAACATTGAACACATGACAACATATTGACAACACATGAGCAGCAAGGCCCTTTTGTGACGGGATGAACTTTCGAGGAGCGGCCTCTGCGCTCAAGAATCAAAGCATTCAACTTCGATTCGTGCTAGCAAAACTTCAAGCAAGGTGTTAAGTTGTTTGCCTTCTTCTTCTGGCCAGCGTTTGCTTGTTGCCCCATGCTCCGGGGTAAAATAGCAAGCGAACTGGCAGGACAGAAATGATTTGGTTCCAACATCAAATCAAAGTTTACGTTTATGTACGACTATTTTTCTTGAGTTTATACAATGCTGCATAAAGCTCAAGCTGCTGCGAGGGATAGTATCAGATTGGAAAGCTGACGCAAGCTGGCTACTCATTCTGCATCATTCTGCTCTTGACAATCCAAGCAAGGACCACTCTTCCGCCATGGCTATGGTCAAAGCGACTTGACTGGCGGTCAAAATTACAGTTAGTATTTGTTTAGCCCAATGCTAATTTTTCAATTGGGTTGCCTGTTCATCGGTTTTTGGATGTTTTCAGTGTTTCGAATGTTTGTCTCACAATCAGTCTCATTAGTAGGGCTGTCCGGATAACTCAACACTCCTTGTATAATTTGCCGATTGCTCATTTGAAGGTGCTTCAGGGAGGGTCAGCAAGTTCTCACAAGCGCACTTTTGTAATGCCGTTTCAACGCCAGTGTCTGCTCCACAGTGCATAACAAGACAAGACCTTGGTCTGTGATCACCGACGAAGCCTAGATATCAAAGACCAGAAACAATGATTCGTAATTGCATTGGCATTGATGGATCTGCACTCTTTTCACTCCTGGTTGAACCACCAGGCTGTAGTTCATGTGGTCAGAAACGTTGTAGCAAGCTTGAGCAGTTGAGCTGGTTGAATGTGATTGGGCTGCTGAGTTGAATCATGCTCTATCAAGCTGAACCAACAAACTGACAAATCGACGACATGGTTCAAGAAAGAGTTGCGTTGTCAGCGCCCTTTTGCAATGTGGCTACGCTGGACCCCAAAGCGTGCATTGGGCGGCTGGTTCCCACCCCGAATGACTGCAGCATCAAATGCAGTCAAAGCTCCCCTCCAACCTACCCACACAGCCTTGTCAGGGCTTTCATTGTAGTTCAAGGATGGACAAAATTTGTGCCAGTGTAGTAGTGTATGTGTGTGTGTGTGTTGCAACAAGTGTACCACTAAAATGATATCAGCACAATAAAACATATCTGTTTCAGATTGCTCTAGCTGCACGAGTCATCGTCAAACAGGAAATCTTTTTGGAAGCAAGAGCTGAGCTGAGTGTTTCGCTATCAGTGTTCATCGTATGTCATACTACAGTGTGAGAGTCTTTATGAGAGTTCCCAGCATAGCTCTATCGTTTTGATACATGTGTTGACAAGACTGTTTGGGTTGAGCCTCTCAATTTCTTGAGATACTGCGGCCAGTGCGTGGCTGCTTTCAGCTCATTTTTGTCCCCGGACTCCCCCACGGGCTCTTCCTCGTCCACGGCCCTTAGGCCCCTTTGATCCTTTCGCGCCTTTGGCCGACCTTATGCTGAGGTTTTGAATGACCAACACGCTCCGGTAGCAAAAGTGTGGGAGAGCAAAAACGAAAACCCTCAAGGAACTCAGTAGCTGACTTCCCTTTTGCCTTAGCCTTAGCCTTGGCCACCTGTCGCACCTGTGCAAAGTCTGAGCTGCATGCAATGCAAATTTCCTCCATCTTCACTTGAACAGCTTTGACCAAAAGCCCAACTGCCACAGCGCCTTCTTTGCAAAGAATGCTTTTGCCCTCAGCTCAAGCAAATAAACAACTGAAAATATTGTTTCTCATATATACATACGTATCTACGTGTTTACAAAGTTTACAGAGAAAACAAATGTAATATATATATATATGTATATATATATATACACACTGATGATTAACATATGTTGATGTAGTGTGCTGCAGCATGGACCCACCTGGGCTTCACTGATTCTTCTGCTCCACCATCATTCTCAGCAGGTGATTTGCCTTCAAACAAAGCTATTGCAAAAGGTATCGGTAAACACATTGACATGGTAATCCAAGAAGTGCTGCAAAGGAACCGGATTTGCTTGCAAGGCGTTCTAGGCCAGGAGGGGGTGGTGGCTTCTTCTGGTGTTGCAATGCTCTCTGCTTTGGAAAGAAATGCAAATGACATCAAATAACTCTTTTCTTATGAGGTCTTTCGATAATTTCACTGACACTATGTCCAATCAGTCAGATTCGATCATACTGCAGCAAAACAGTGAGCCATTAGTCTTGAACTTGTCTCAGCCCACCGGCACGATGTCATCGAAAAGGCCAGGAAATTCAGCAATAGTTTTCAGAAGTTGGCGCTCCTGGACAACCACAACTGGTAGGATCTCAGAAATGCTTAGGCCGAGCAATACACGGGAATTCCTGCATTTCAGCAAGTGCTGCTGAAGATATTTGCCCAGGGGAAATCGTCGGCGTGGACATAGGAGTGGTACTGCGCAAATTCAGATTTGAAGGCTGGGGGAGATTGCTGTTTCGCAAATTCTTGCCTAGCGATCTTCGACCTCTTGGATGAAGACCTCAGTATCATCCAGTTCGACGACAACGTTGTCCCAACATGTCCCAACTGTCTTGATAATCCATGGCATCCCTAAGGACATCTCTGCGAGGATTGGTCGCATGGGCCACTGTTGAACCAGAAGCTAAACTAAGTCTGCGACACCAATGCAGCCGCAGCACGCTTCTGGGCTGCTTTCTCCTGCTTTCCAATCCATGAGTCTCATTGCGAATCAAAGGTATAGTATAGTGTAGTAAGTGTACAGAATTGGAGAGCAAATCAGACCTCTGCCACTGCAGATTTTGCTCTCATCTCCAAGTTTGACAACCTGTGCAATGCAAGCCAAAAGCGCGCCATACTTCAACCCACTTCATTCAGTTGGATGCAGTGCATACATTGACTGTGGCTCAAGCTCAGTTTGAATTGCATTGAGATCTGCTTCCCACATCTCCTCAAAATGAAAAAAATACTTTAGGCTTTCAGATTCAGATCCTTTCAATCCTTTCCTATTGCCATTGTCATCCAGCTTTCGAACCAAAAGGTCAGTTTATTCAGCGTTTCATAGTTTCATATGTGGCTTCTCCTCTGGAGCAGTGCACTCGAGCTCCTCCAGCTCAGCCTGCAAAGGGTGGGTGCTGGAAAGAAGTAGAGCGGAAAGGAAGAGGAGGAGCTCGTATAGCTCGCTCAGTCGCTCGTATAGCTCGCTCTGCAACCATTCGTGCATGCTCGGTCCTGCTTCTCTTTGAGCTGTGCCAGCAAAGTTGCGACCCTTTCGGCTGTGAGAGACCTGAGAGGTCGAAGAATCGAATATTTGCAACTTCTTCGTGAATCGAGAAGATAGTGTGAGACCTGTGAGGCCTTGACCATAAAGGCATTCCCAGCAGGTACTCCCAACCCCGTCCCTGAGCTCCTTCCACGTGTTCTCCTCAGAGAATGCTACACCAATCAAATGTATCCGTATCAATGTCAGTCCCTTGTATTGACGTATGGGATCAAGACCTTATTGTTTCTCATTACAAGATCGGGAGCTTTGCCACTCACATGCTCGTAACTCATACCATAATCGCCTGTTGACTCTCAACTGGTGCGCACTCTGCCTGCCTTCAGTGATTTCCTGCAGAGTCTTAAAGCCATGCTTCCGAAGATCCTCTGGAAATAGGAACAGTCGGGGAAGCTCGCTCATTCTACTAGGGAAAACTTTGTCCTCGATCAACGAGTCTTTCTTGCGGTTTTTCACCTTCAACTTCTCATCGATGACCTTTCATGGTGCCCAAGAATAAAACAAATCATCAGAAAAAATGCACTGATTGCAGCTCAGTATGGTGTTTCGCGATGTAGTTTGGAACGTGATAACAGTATTGCATGAACACCGGTTTACAAAAGAATGTGTGCTTCTTTCGTGAAAATCAAATTGGGTCGCCTCTTGAACAAACCGAGCTTTGGCTGCCAAAACCTCCGCCTGGATCCTCTGAAGCCAAATGAAAAATGGACTGATTTGATCCGTCCCAGGAACAAGGGCATCGCTACTAGTAGCAAAGGGCATCGCTACAAGGAGCAAGGACGCTACTAGTAGCTCCTGGCCTTACTACTAGGAACACATTGTCAAGCAAAGTCTTCGAGAACAAGCACCAAGGCATCAACTGCAAGACTCTCACCAAGTGAGCTTTCCTTTTGTGATAATACCTCCAGCGAGAATGGGTGAAGAAAGAAAGGTATGGACAAAAAAACACACACACATACAAAAAGTGGTTGCCTCAATTTTGTCCAGAACTCTATGTGGCAAAAATACAGATTACTGCAGCAATTGTGCCACCCTTGGACAATCTGAGATTCAGTACTCAAGGCGAAGCTCAGCGAATTCCTCGATGATCTGTCTTTCGTCAGCATATTTCCTGAGTTCTTTCCAGCCGAGTGTGCTGTTAACAAGGTCAGGGCCCTTCCCTTCTTTCTTTTTCCACTCTCGCACAGCTCCAAAAGATCTCAAAAGGGCCCCGCACTTGATCTTGCCATCTTTGTCAAAGAACATCCTCAGCCCGACAACTTTCTGAAGGTCAAGAAAAGGGGGCATGGTGGTTTGCAGTCAATGGCTGCCTCTCTCCGCTGTCCGGCACTACTACAGTCAACAAATGCATGTCTTCAAGGAGGTGACATGTTGTTTGTGGATAGCGAGCTGCGCAACTTGAAGGACTTCTCCAGTCCTTCCAAAATGTACACAAAAGAACAGGACACTTGGCAACTTTAAACTAGGTCCTATGTACTCATGTGCTGCCATTTGCTCCTGGCGCCGACTCGGCTCAAATCAATGTGACTCATGAAGTTGGGGCTCAATCTGACTCGGCTCCTCCGTTACGGAGATAGTGAAGTGAACAGTCGCCTGCGCCGAAGGAACAAGGTACAATCCGAGTACCAAAACTTGTGAACCGGGCCTCTGTGTGCCACTCCTTCAGGCAACCAATGATCAAAATAATGAGAAGTATCGCAAAGTACCAAAAAGAAGTTCTGCACGCATGAGCTTCAACCAGCTTCTCACGCATGCGCGGCAAGTCCTTGAAGTCCTCAATTTGTCCACTGCCAGGCCCTTCTGTCGACAACATTGCCTCGGCGACACGCTGCAAAGGCGTGAGCGTTGCCTCCCTCACTCACTGGCTCACTCACACACTCCTCACTTGGGCTGCCAAAAGGGAATCCAGCCTGCAAAACGGCCACCTTGTAGTCCTTGGCCCACTGGTTTACTCAATTCACGCATTGTGACTTGTGCACAGAGTGACGTGTCCTCGGTCCATTTCTTGATCGGAAGCTCAGTGATTTCCAAGGTTGTAGGGCCCAGCCTTGGCTTTCCAAGGTTCAGCTGTTCAGCTGCGATGAACTTTTGAGCCCTCAACTTCTCTATCACCCCCACGGACTCATAGCCCAACTTTTCTGGCGACCTCGATCATAACGCAAATCATTCTTTCCAGCCCCGACATTGCCTTTCGCCGTTGATGTTGAAAGCCAAAATGACTCCGGCACCCAAAGACTTCTGCACAGTGCTGGCCAAATCTGACTGTCACTTCCTCACTTCAAACGCTCAAATCTGAGTGTCAACAATACGAGGCTGCCTTTAAAGCCAGCGTACCATGGACACATTTCCTGGACTGTCCAGAAGCACTCCAAAAGAACGAACGAAATAAAGTGATGTATATATAATAAGTAAAAAAACTACTTTCAGAAGCTGTTTGAGAGGCTACTTGCGTGAGGCTCATGATGCTCATGCCATATTGGTGAGTACACAAAAGGATATATATACAAATGCAATTAGGGAGACTCCGAAATAAGAAGGGAGGGAGGACAGTTCTACTATATACCCAATTGATCCAAATGGTACAATCACCATGATTTGTTATTTTGTAGTGTGCTTAGGGACAACTGTATGAGAACATCTGCTCAAAATTCAGGTGGTATCAGCAGTCGTAGAAGGAAACGCTTGCTGTAACTCCAACCTGCACAGGTTCGCATCGAATGTACCTGCACAACGTGCATGTCATTGCAAGCCCAAGATTTAGCTCGACTGGGGCGCTGTGCGTGCAGCAGCTTGCCTCTTGAGGTTCGCTATGATGTCGCGCGGGTGGTAATTTGGCAGGAAGGTAGACCAACCAGTTCCAATGCCTGTGCTTCTCGCTATGGCTGCTATTTTTGAGTCAATGAAAAAGACAGCTGAGCTAATTTTGTGCATGCCTTCAGCGCCATTGATCAGAACGGTGGGAATTACAGGAATGTACCTCAAGGTCTAATGACCAGTTCGCCAGAAAACCCAACACTTGTTTGGGAAGTTCACTATGGCGGCCATGGCTGTGGCTGACCATTTGGGTTCAATGCGCTGCCCTTCTTCGACCTGTGAGCATCTCATCAAAGTGCGAAAACAGCCACAAGGCAAGGCATCATGACCTGAACATCAAGCAGGGCATCATCTGCAGGATGAAAGATGAGCCTGGAGATCCTGGCGAGTATGTTCAGCGCCACAGCAAAGCACTAGTGCCAGAACGAAAAGAACACGAGCAGCCTTTCTAGCCGAGTGTAAATGTAGCGAGCGCTTGCAGCATCTTTACCTCATTGCAAATTGGAAAACTGCTGTCAGTTGCGTTAACTAAGCCTTGCAAAACTTAGGACTCGGCCACCTTGAATTCGAGTGCCAAACTGCCCCGCGGGGAACAACAAATTCACATTGTTGGAGCCAACCTTTGCACGCAAAACAGACTCAAGACTGGTCAGCATAGGTGCAACATGGTGCAACTCAGCCCAGCAGCAAAATTCTGTGCAAGGCCAACAATGGCACCTGGCAATTGCTGTTTGAAGCTTTTGGCGACATGTGACAATCTGTTCAGCCTTGAAGGGACATCTCGCCATGATGGTAGGCAGCATTTTCAGAGACATATCCTTCATCAAACCGTTGTAAATAAATGCTGTGAGTGTGCTGCAACAGCGCTTACATGGTATACACAGTATACACACTTGTTGACTTATCCTAGCAAGGGCTGGAAGTCCTGCAAATTGAGCGACTTTGGTGTCCTTGGCCATCTGCTGTGACAAGTTTCCAAGCGAATGACTGTTGAAGATATTAGCCTGTCAAAATTTGAAGCCGGTGGACAAGGCTGGGTCGCCAACGTGGTTGAGGTTGCGCTTGAATGCCGCCCACATAATCTTCCTCTGTACTGGCTTGAAGCCGTCAACCAACGATGGAATTGCACGAAGAACCTGGCATCACAGGCCGCATGGCTTCAATGATAAATATATATATATAAATCAAATGCATTACAGTACAAGTTTGGTACGTGCCAGGTGTGCATCATACTTTGCAAACTGCACAAGCTCTTTATTGATGAAGTCGGTGTAGCCCACAGAATCCTGGCCCCGTGAACAGCACCAAGCATTTCTTTGAGATTCACTTTATTTCCTGTGTGAAAGGTCCTTTGAGTGGTCCACATATTCCTCATCGTCTGCGTCGTTGATCCATTCCTGACAAGGGTCTGCTCTTGCACAAGTTCTGTGATCCTCCTTGCACACTGCAGGTCCTTGCGGTCGTCAGCTCGCTTTTTATTGAAGGCCATGTCAAAGGATTCATCATCTTGTTGGCCATTGTACTGAAAGGACAGGCTGTGCTCCTCCAAAATGTACTTAAAAGTTTGGCAAATCAGTCAATGCAGGGCTTCTACACTTTTCCGTGAAATCTCAACAGGATGACCGTTTACACTTGCTGTATCAGGGAACTTTGGACTAAGCTACTGGCGTTGATGTTGCTGAAGTACTCTTTGGCTTCTGCAGTCGTAGATGTGCCAAGCCCTGAGCATGCAAAGCACGCTTTTGCGAGACTTACGCATGAAACAAAACAACGCGCTGGGCCTTTGTAGTACTTCAAGTGCCATCCTCTGCCGTTGTGGTTCTGAGCCTTCCACTGCTCGTACTCCTTGGAAAGTACATCAATCAACAAACTTGCATGAGGATGGCTCTTGGGAAGCCCCCTTTGTAGGTGCTCCGCTTGCATAGTGAAGAATTGCTGGGTTGAACCACGACGGGTTGCCTTGACCTGACTCGAAGCGAAAGTGAAGGAGACAAAGCCTTCAATAGCTTTGCCCCCGACGATCGGGGTCACAAACTCTGTCATGAAGCCAGGCAGTCGGAATAGCGATGGCCACCTTTTCGAGACTCCAAATGACTCAAATGATTGCAAACGATGTCAAAGGATTGCCTGGGGCCAAGGCCAGTGCTGAATGAAATTTAGAATAAGGCCTTTGATGTGCGAACCATCATAATCTTGGTCTGTCATCACCTCAGCCGAAAGCAATCATCCAGCCAAATGCTGCGAGGGGCCTCAAAAAACCTTTGGATGAGATCGGCAACCGCACGAAGAGCTGAACATCCTCTGAAGGAGAAAAACCAAAGGAAATACAGTACCAACTACCAACAGGAACCAAAAAGGATGGGCCGCGACTGTAAGCACGGACTTCATCATAGTCACATGCCAAACCAATGAGGTGGGATTAAATATAGTAAATAAAAATAAATAGCTGGACAATGCCTGGGAATAGCTGGACAATGCCTGGGACTGCTATTTCTGCATCTGGAGCACCATGATGGAGCCGTAGCGCAAAGAATTCGCTGAGTGGTACTCTTTCTTCGGCCTGACCCCGAGACTGACTGCACAGCAAGATCGACAATATCCAAAAATAGCATCAAAGCAATCATCAAAGTCTATTTATCCGAAGTTTGGCCAGGATACTCCAGCCCAATGATTTTTGTGATGTTTGCAATCTCAGCGTTACCTGCGCGTGCGTGCGTACGTGTGTGTGTGTGTGTGATGATGTCATGGGCAATAGGTGGTCAACATACAGGTGGACTGAGGCACGAGGCTCATAGTCTGCGCAAATGTGGCATCACGCACCTGGATAGTAGCATGTCGTGTATTTAGCAAGAGTAGCGGATGTCGCTCCAATGATTGGTGCATCAAGTCTTGCAGCCATACCAAGCACCTTGGAACCCCTCCTCTACGAGTCCTCCACATGTCCAAATTCAACAAGGTCGGCCTTTAACTTCACAACTTTAGATCCCAAAGAGGTATGCGGTATTAGTAAATTTCAAGCAGGTGTAGCATCTGCTAAACATCTCTGTTTCCACCATAGTGGTCCAATGCACTTTCGGGGATCAATTGCACTGAAGATCTCACTGAAGTATGTTGCTTAGATGTTCAATTCGCATCTGCTTCGCTCTGAGGTGCATTGAGAATCTTCCCACGGAGAGGGAACACCCCATAGCGGTCACGCCCGATGACCTCAGAATTGATCTTTCGGGGCATGGCGACAAATAGTCAGCATCTGAGAGAAGGACACCCAGGCCAGCAACAGCCAAAGATTTTGCGCTGTCTCCCTGGCGTGAGGTTCACTTGACTTTGCATAGAAACAAACAAACTAAAGTGACCTCAGTGAGGATCAATGTGCACTCACGGCCTGATTTGCTTCACGCAACGCATTCGGTGAACTCGAAGCTCAATTGAAAAAGGCTTCTTCCCCCACAATGCAGAAGACATGTTGTGATGTGTTGTGCATTTGAATAAGTAGCGGCCGTGTCTTGAAGCACGTCTGCTGTCAAATCGTCAGTTGAGTCCACAGCCATCTCTGCCGCCTGCAAGGTTGGCATCCTGGGGACGGTCGCATTTGGCCGCGCAGCTGGGCCAAGTCACACATGCCGGGGGCGAGTTGCAGCAGAAATAACAACAGCAACAGCTTGTGGAAAAAAGCTCCCTTGACAGTCTCCAGGGGCAATTCTAGGATTTTGCACTGCTGGCAACTGGCTTGGAGGCCCTTCTCTCACAGGTGCACTCTTGGCAGCTACAGGCTTCTGCGGGACGTATCCTCCAATCCGTCTTCATGCTTCACTAAATCGCACTGCGGCGTATCCCTCAGACATAACTTGGATTCTCCTCCGTCTCTTGCCCTTCGCAAAATTGCTTTGGTTATCAACACACAAAGGAGGCAATGTAGTATCTATCGTGTTTGCCTGCTGCCATGCACAAGTGTGCGAGACCGCAAAGTGGCACCAGGAGTCGCCATGTAGAAAACAAACCTACACTGTACACCTTGACCATGATGATACACCCTGGAAGATTCACATCGATTCACATCGAACCTGAAAATGGACCTTCGGAATCCTTTGGATGACGATTTCCCCCTACAACTTAGTGGTTTTCAGGTGCCACGTTGATCATCCTGGGCATAAATCTTGGATTCGTTAGTGTTGGCCTGCAAAAAGGACCTTTTGTAGCATGCAGCTAGCAGCTGTAGAAATCAAAGCACTGGCCTTATCCGAGTAAAGCATCTTCATGACCTCTTCTTTCAACACTTTAACGTTTACGAACACAAAGCAGCTAGATCAGAGAATAGACACCAAAAGCCACTTTGCATAATCTCAAGGCTATTGTTGCTTGTGCGTGGCATTGTGCAAACATCTAGTTCGAAGCTTGATGACACATTGATAAGCAATGTCCTCCAGCTTGGGAATGTTGAGAAGCCGCTTTGTCTTCTTGTTGGGTGCACTGGAGCCACCTGGTAGCCAATAGCAATTTGCAGTTGTCTAATCGTTGCAAGTGCGAAGGTGTTAAGTTTCCCAAAAATCTAGGAACCAAATCATTAGTGGGAGCGCTTCTTCGAGGAAGCTCCCCCCGCCCTCAGACGACGCGGGCTTCCTTGAAGAAGCGTGAGCTATCCTGCGTCCTGGGGAGTAGCTTAAGTAGCTAGTAGCTAGCTAGTCTCTACTACCTACCTCTTCTCGGTCTACACCCCCTGGGCTTTGAAAAAAAAGGAGCAATTAATGAAGGCCCCCTTTAAAGGGGCCTTACCTTCCTCTGTTCATCTCCCTTGTTCTTCTTTAAACCTCTACAACACTGCAGCAGGCACCCTTCATCGTCTTCCCGAGATCTATCTCCTCCTTTGCTCTGGCCCATTGCAAGACCATGTCAACCTGTGAAAGCAACATAACATGAAAAAGTGCCATTGATTCAGTTTTGAGAAACTGGGTTTGCGGCAATACCCGTTTTGAGGACTTTCTCGATCATCTTGTCAGGTATGTGGCAGCTGGACCTGCGGCTGCCACACGATGGCACACAGGGAGACATCAAATCTGACTGAAATAAGGAGGCGATGCCAATGCCAGTGAAGTGAAATGGCGCACCCAAACTTTGCTGCTTTCAACGTCAGTGTTTCTTTTGTCTGTGAGTCGAAGGAAGGGTTCTCGATCTGCGCATTCACAAAAATCCACAGGTAGTTTCTCACGTGGTACCTCTCGCACTCAAGCATGCTGTTTGTAGCACATCATAAGGCCCTCATTCAAGATCCGAAGTTGGGCCAGGGGCACGGCTTGATCTCCTGAACAACGATCGTCAATTCGCAAGTTATCACACAAACTGAACTGAGCTCATGGCCATGCCGCCCTTGTTTTGCTTGTTCACCTTGTACGTAATAGCCTCACCAAACGAATGCACCAAACTGCTTGCGGTAAGCAATCAGGATCTAACAGTCACAACCTGGAAAGCATCGAACCACATAATGTGTATCACCCCAAACGACCAAATCCCGCTGCAGGGCCCATTGCTGCATCCGGCGTGTGGGCTTTTTACATTGTGCTTCAATTGAGTACAATGCAGGTGAGCTGCTGAAGTGGCCGCCGTGGCAATAAGGCCGTGAATGACATGTTTTCGAGTTTCAGCGGCCCATACTGGGGACTGGAGGACAAGGATTCTAGCAGATTCCAACCAAATGGTACTAGTAGCGCCACTTGGCCTCCAGAGAGATGTCGGGCAAAGAAGGCAAAGTGCAAGATATGATTGTGTGCCCCTATGCTTCTGAGTGCCACTGGAGGATGGTGCGCATTTCTTAAAAGTCACGTGGATCTAGATATGTACCACTTTTCTTTGACTGTGCTTTTCAAGCTGGAGGCGCGAGTGCTCTCAATGTTTCACCGGCATACCTGCACCTGCACAGTCATTTTCGAACGGTGGCTTTGATTCAAGGTTGATTCATTCCGCCATGCATTCATTATTCATTGGGCTGTTTTGGAGCCAAGTCCTGATTGTGATTGGCTTGTGTGACTTGCTTGTAACTGCTTGTAAGAAGACCGAAGACCCAAAATTCTCGGTCCGACGTTGGCAGGACATCAGGTACAGTGAAAAGAGAATGGACAATGCCCTGTACATCCCGTGAACGTGTCTTTTCACGGCTACAGTGAGCGACTTGGCTGAGGCAGAAGAGTCAAACAATAAAATCCTTCTTTGGAGGCACGATGAACCTTACAGTCCAGAGCCACTCTTCGGTTGTAGACCCATGCTTATTGTGTTGGCTGTGCACTGATTCTACTATATTCTGGCTGCACACCAGGCCATCACATTGGCCCGAGCTGCATCCTACAATGTCCACATTGTTGCCTTCCTTCTTGTGTGTTCAGAGTAGCTGTGAGTCTTGCACACATTTGAGAAAGTAAACATCTGGAATGTGGAACACAAATCCTACTAGCTCACAAGGAAAACGCTGGAACGGACCCCAGTTCATCGAATCCGCGGATCATCCGCATCATTTGGCATGTGTCTACAATTGACTCAGATTGAAGCAAGGGGATGGCGAAACATGCTGCTCAATTGGGGATTGTCAGCAGCCCAATCGATTGTTGTCCATAGTGTTTGCTCCACCTTAATGTTGGTCCGAGCCAATGGATTGAATTGATCTGATGCAAAAGCATAGTTCAAACATTGAGGAACAAGCCACAGCCGGCCTCCACTAGTTGGTCAGCCACATGGACAACCTTATCTGGAGCACTGCTTGCATCTTCACAGAACATACGAGTCTTTCGGTCTTTGAAACCCAGAACCCGGACTAGCCATCATGTGCCCAAAACGGTGTTTCACACACTTGCGGCACAGAAAGCTGAACTTTACCAGGCGGATGCCAACTGTGGCTTTCACATGAGTGCCACCCTTCGGTGTGGCAATGTTGTTGACAAAGGACACCTCGCGGAACAGAACACACATAGTAACAAGTGCATCGCTACTGGTAACAAGAAGCTACTAGGTTGGAGGCCATCGCGATTAGGTTGGAGGC